TGTGTGTGTGTGTGTGTGTGTGTGTGTGTGTGTGTGTGTGTGTGTGTCAGCCTGATGTCATGCACGAGCTGGCCCACTGCATGCTGGAGCCAGAGGAGCTCTTAGAAGCGGTACAGTGGTCCCTCTTTGTCGGGGGAAGTTCTTTTTTATGTAGAACTTATTTAGTAGTAGAGTTCCTTAAGTTTGGTTGGTAGTTTCACCTGTGACTTGTGACAAAAGCTTCCTTAGTACAGTTAGTCTAATTTTGTGCAACAGCCTCCCAATACACTGTAGATGTTGAGAAAATGCTGTACATGTTACAAGTTTAAGATAAGTATATCTTTGTTGTGCTGTGATCTTCTTAAATCGTGCAGTCGTCTCTTAGTTTCTGTGCTAGGCTTTGCCCTCTTTGATCAGTTTGGGTTGAAAATCAAGCTTTGATCTCTTTATTGAAGGGTTCCTTAAAAACATATTTTTGAAAGAATTGTCACCAAGATGCATACTGAGCAAATCAATGAGTCAGTGCTCTCTGGTGAACAAACTACGTATGTAAAAACCTAGTTTGATATTTCTGTACTGCAGTTTGTTTTGTTCATTATCAGCCAACATGCGTATTAACGTATCTGCACTAAGCTCTTTTACAAGTGCCACCGAAATGTCAGATTGATTAGTCATTACATACCGAGTGGTGTTCCTCGTATAAGGTGAATGTTTTGAAGTCACGCAGAAGCATTTTGGAGTTACAAGCTGCAGTACCAGTCAGTTCAGTCTGCTCGGGCTTCCTGTGCGATCTATATTTATGTTGCTCCAAATCATATGTAGGCCTGTAATCAAGCTCAATCTCCAGTTTCTAAAACGGTTGCACATGTCCATGTAACAATGTTCAGCCTATATATATTGAGTCTGTTGTATTTAGTTGATTTGTGCCCATCCTTACCAGCTGTTAGTAGCTATGCATCTGTAGTCAGCGAGTTCTTACTACACACTCATTTCCCAGAAGTGGGACAGTGATTAGCCCAGTTTCTCTCCCAGTCAGCTGGCTCACGTTGGGCTCCTCTGCTATTGAGGTCTGAGGAAGGCTGACCATCCACTGTGTTGTTCATACCACTGCTCTAACACCTCCACCTCCTCACAGTTAACCAGCTCTTTGGGGTTCTCCCTAAACTGCTTGATCACAAGCAGCGAGGCTTTGTCTTTGCACTAAATCTGCTGTTGATCCTTTGAAGAGGAGTATCATCTTACATTATCAGCAAATCAAACCACTAGCTTTCTTTGAAACTCCAGGGGCAAACCTTGATCTGATGCTTCAAAGCGAAACATCCGTGAACAATATATGCCTTGACTAGTTCAGACGTGAATCTCACCAACAAAAGAGATTGGTGCTGGTGACACTAGTCAATGCATTTAGGATGTTTCATGTGGTGTCATTGGTTGTTAGTATCATTGTGGTGTTTGTAGTTGCTGTTCTCCTCATAACGCCCTCTTCGTCTCCCCCTGGTGGTTAGGTGCGGTATCGCCGGGAGCACGCTTCAGGCCGCCAGCTGCCCTTCTTCCCTCTGCTGGAAGACCTGATGAGGGATGTGTGTGACGGAGCGGCACTGCTCACTGTGGTCAACTACTTCTGCCCAGACCTCATGAAGCTGGAGGGTATGCTGAGCCACTCGCAGACACACATTCAATAGATGAATCTTAATTATCAGTTGCCCTCAACATATTTTTCTGTAAAGAGCATCGAGCTTTCTCTGCTACATTGAATTTAATATCCATGTGTGATCCTATTTCTGTCGCCTGCACACGGGCTGACTGTTCCGGTCCCGTCAGTGTGACATTAATAGCCAGCAGGTCATGGAGTTGTGTCCCGATCTGACTCTGCTCTTTCTGCCTGTCTGACCAGATGTTTGCCTGAAGGAAGTCCCCTCCATTGCCGATAGCCTGTACAACATTCATCTACTCAAAGAGTTCGCCAACGAGTATCTGAATAAGAGTTTCTATCTGACGATGGAGGACATGCTCTACTCGCCACTCGTGCTCAAGGTACAAAACGTGACATCCTGTGTTTTCATCAACGTTTGCAATAAAAATGTAAAAACCACTTGGGCTAAACAATTCTTGCTGTTATTTTGAGCTTAATGATGATCATCAAGTCTTTTTGATGTGTTTCTCGTGCTCTCTATGTAGCACAATGTGATGGTGTTCATTGCTGAACTCTTCTGGTGGTTTGAGACTGTCAAGCCAGAGTTTGTCCAGCCCAGAGACCTCCAAGAGTTCAAAGATGGTAAGCATCCCCGTGTGATTCCCACGAAATGTAAATCTCCTTCCAGTCTCTCTGATCTCTACATCGTTGGAAGTTGCATTTACAACTTACGTTGATTTTATTTGGATTACAGTCGAGGTTCTATGTTGAGATTTCCAGTATCGGTCACTACAAATCTCCCTTCCTCCTTTTCTCAGCTCGAACCATAGCTCAGCCCAAGAGTGCCCGCCCATCAGTGCCTATCTCCAACGCCACCAAGCGCAGCTTCCTGGCCAGCCCTGGTTCGGCCGATAACCAGAGCAGCCCCGAAGTCTGTAACAGGTACTTCCTGCACCCTGAAGACTCTGACCCCCTGTAAGTCTTCCCTCGCTCTCCTCCTCGTTCCGCCTCATCATGATCCTGTCTCCTAACCAGTAACAGTAGCCCTCAAAGGATGGGTAGATCTGCAGCATGGTCTGACATTCACTCTCATGTACCCCACACCTCTAACCTCTAATTTGGTTGGTGGGGGGGGAGAATGTTCTTACCCCATACTTTGCACTGGTGAAGCGAAGACTTTCTGTTAATCTGCTCTCCCAACAGTGTTTGAAAGACAGTTATGTTTGTTACTTTAAAAAAAAAGTGATTTCTGTTTTTTAGTAAAGGGGGTCCAACCTTCAGTCCTTCCCACCCGCTCCTGCCCCTCAGACAGAGGCAGCAGAAGCAGCATGGAGAAGATGGTGCAGGTAAGCACAACAGTCTTTACACCAACAGAAGACAAAGGATTGCTTGTCAGTATATGATTGTGACCAGCACCTGTTGTTAGACTTATTCTTTGCTTTTGTGTGTGTTCCTGGTAAGGTGTCAGAAACCGCTCCAACTCCCTGACTCAAATGGACGGACAACCCCGAGGCTCTGTTGTTGCATGGCCCGACAAGAGGCAGAGGTACCTAAAGTAGCTCAAACTAAAACCTTAATTGGCTCTAATATGAAACATATATTTCTACTCATGGTTTGGAATAACTTTTGCTTCCATATGGCAGTCCATATACTACTGAAGGTGAGAAGATGAAACCTTTTTAAAGCTCAGTGGGCTTTGTTGTAAATCTGCTGGTACATATTTAAATTGTAATGGATGCAAATATACTTCAGTTAGAGGTTCACTCCCTGTCCGTTCTTTTGTAAGCGTGTACAATACTATAATTTATGCGGCAAAGATTTTGGTTCTGTCTAAATATTTGTACAGCTGCAATTTATTTGCCAGTTAATTGATCAGTTGCTTTAAAGACAATCCATTGGCTAATGTAAATGCTCAAGCAGAAATGCTGAACATTGGATGGACTAACTTACTAACACTAGCTCTAAGCAGCTTTTTTTTCCAATGAAAGCAAATGTTTAAATAAGAATACAATCGAGTGTTGTTTTTATTTTCATTCTCTCCTTCTGCAGACCGCTGTCCACGCTGAGCCCCTACATGTTTCACTCGGCCACAGACTGCGATGCAGACATTGCTTCTGGCGACAGTGTGAGTCTGGCTCGCTCCATAAGCAAGGACAGCCTGGCGTCCAACGTCATCAACGTCACGCCCAAACACCAGATGTCTGTCCACCAGCCTTCACAGGCTGCAATGCGCCGCGTCAACGGCCACAGCCTCAGCCTCCTGGGAAACGTCAACAGTGAGGATGGGGAAGAAACTCTGGTGGCAGTTGCGAGGACTGATGCCGCCGTCGTCCCCAAACGGGTCGACGGGACGCAAGCAACTGCCGCAGCGGGACCCAAACCATCCGCGGACTCCACGCCTGCACCTGATAGCTTTTACTTAGAACCACTGATGCCTTCTGTGATCAAAGCAGCTAAAGAGAAGTCTGTATGTCTAAATAAGCAGGAGGAGAGCGGTGAGGGGCCCCACTCCTCTGGGAGGGGCTCTCTACGCAGAGGAGAAGGATCTGCATCGGCCGTTCGTAGGAAAGCTCCCTGCAGCTTGAACCGGACCTTTACCCCTCCGGGTGAGGAGGGAGACTTGTCAGGGGAGCTTCAACCGGGTCCGGTAGATTTCTGCCCCATTGTTACCAGCAGTGTGGACCCCTCGTCCAGAGAACCAGCTGGGGGGTTCTACCTTCATTCAGATTCTGAAGAGCCAAAGCCTGCCCAGGCCCTGGATGCTGAGCTTGAGGACCTGGATGAAGAGGAAGAGGATCTGGATGAAGCTCTTACCACTAAAGACCCCAACTGGGCCAGGAAAGCCCTTAATGAGGACGAAGAAGAAGAATCAGCCAAACTCCAAGAGGACATGAATGTGAAAGAGCACGAGGACAAAGACATGAACGGCGGCAGCGGTTGCTCCAGCCCCTGTCTCAGCGGTCACTCCCAGGCCAGCAGCATGGCCAGCGGCAGTGTGCGCATGACCTCCTTCGCCGAGCGCAAAGCCCAGCAGCAGCGCTTCGGCAGCAACCACGACCTGCGCTCCAGTGCCTCCAGCTCCCAAAGGACCACTCCGGATGGATCGGAGAGCAGCGGGCCCCTGGCTTCCTCCTGGAGGCTTAAAAGGGACCAGAGCCCCTCCGGCGACGATGGCGGCGGCGGTTCTAACGTATTGGCTTCTGAAATTGTCCAGCTCCGCATGCAGCTGGAGGAGAAGCGACGTGCCATCGAGCACCAGAAGAAGAAGATGGAAGTTCTGTCGGCGAGGCAGAGGCAGAAGCTGGGAAAGGCTGCCTTCCTGCACATCGTGAAGAAAGGCAAAAGCGACACGCTACCCAAACCACTCAAAGCTGACATCTCGAAAGACGAGCTCAGTGCGGAGAGAGCACCATCAAGTAAAGACGACATGTGTGTCGATGCCCTCAGAGGGGACAAAGTGGTGGCGGTACCCCCCCCGCCAGGTGCCTTAGCAGCAGAAAAGAAAGAGCCCAGCGGAAGCTTCTATCTGGAAGAAGAGTTGGACCTGAACGAGTGCAGCCACTCCATCGACCTGTTGAACGACGCCATCGGCAGCATCCAGCAACAGATGATGCAGCTGTCACTGCAGCAGGAGATGTTGATGAAACAGAATGTACAGTCCCCGCCTGGTGCAGCTCAGCCTCCTCCCGTCACCGGCGACAAAAACGGCGACTCAAAGGGAAAGGCAGGCTTTCACTTTGTGGAGCACATCGCCAGTGCCGGCCTCACTCCCACCAGGAAACCCCCCAAGCTGGGCTCAGGCCGGGGCTCCAGGTCCAAACCGTCGGAGCTAAAGATAGCCAAGGAGCAGGGCCGGCAGGCCTCCAAGACCCTCACCCCCACTCAGAGCGGGTCGGAGACATTACCACACCTAGGGCAGTTAGCTGGGGGCCGGTCCCCCAGGACCGAGCAGCCCGACAGCCCCAGGACCCCCACAGCAGCGGAGACAATCGACAGGCCAGGGGCCGGCCACGCTCGCAGCGCGAACTTCCGCCTTCACGACGGGGCGAACATACGCCTGCCGACCCGAGTGGACCTGAAGGCCGTGGAAGTGTCCTTTGACGAGTGCCTGTCCAACACCCAGAGAGAGTCCGACCTCAACTCCTCAGACGGTTCAGGGAAAGAGAACATACCATCGGACGAGGTGCAGCGCAACAGATCCGCACTGATCGAGGTGGACCTGTCTGTGCTGAAAGCCCCTGAGGAAGAGCAAGCTGCTGAGTACACGACAGGAGGAGGTGATGGAGAACAGAAGTCAGTCATGGGCTTCTTCTTCAAGGTAATGACTTTGAATGAAATATATTTAGTTCATTTATTCCAGTCCAGTCGTTGATGTCGGGTTTCATGTTCTTGTGTTGTAGGACGAGCAGAAGGCAGAGGACGAGCTTGCTAAGAAGAGAGCGGCGTTCTTGCTGAAGCAGCAGAAGAAAGCCGAGGAGGCTCGAATCCGTAAACAACAGCTAGAATCAGAATCAGAGCTGAAACGAGACGAAGTCAGGTAACCTGTCCAACGTTAGCATAGGATTTACATGTCGTTCTTCCAAAACCCACGTGCTAACACTGCTGTTTGGTTTCAACACCAGACGGAAGGCAGAGGAGGACCGCTTGCGGAAAGAAGATGAGAAGACCCGGCGTGAGCTGATAAAGCAGGAGTATCTCCGCAGGAAGCAGCAGGAGCTGCTGGAGGAACAAGGCCTCGGGAAGCCCAAAGCCCCAAAAACCCCCAAACCCAAGCAAAAACACCGACCCAAGCCCGTCCTCAGAGAGGAGGCGTCCGGCGACAATTTCTCCAAGTGCTATTCTTCCACACGTAAGATCGTTACATCATTGTTTCTTAACACGTGCTAGCACAGGGTGCTTCATTTACTTTCTCCAGCTGAGCTGTTGTTGTTGGCTGATACTTGTTCTACGGTTACTTTGCCACATGACAGATTCTTTTCTGACACAAATGTCGTCACTGCTTTGGATTAAATGACGGGTTAAATATCAAATGGAGTAACACACTGATTAGTGTAGCCTAATCTTTATCTGCAACTGGGCAGAAATAACGTGTCCAAGCTGAAAAAACCCTAAATTAAAAAAATGTTGATTTAAAATGCAAATGCCAACATAATGAGGGTACAGCCCTCATTATATGAAATAAAACTATGCGACTATGCGATGCCATTTCATGCAGCAAATGCCATTTAACCACAAAGCAAACTCTCTGTTCCACACAGCTGACAACCTGAACAACACCCCATCAGGCTCCAGTCTGTCTCTGGCCTCCGCTGCCACCAACGAGGCCGACAGCGTCAACTCTGGAGGGGCGGGCTCTCAGCGGTAAGCTGCTTCCAACTTTAGTTTTGGTTACAATGTTAGCGTGCGCTTAAGACGTATTCTGTGTGTCGTTTTCAAGGTTTGCAGTCGTTCTAGTATTTTCAGTCTGTGCCTCCTTTGGTTTTGTCCTCCAGCTGCGACTCCGTGGAGTCGTTTCCCGGCAGTCGTGCCAACAGTCGAGCTGCAGAAAGGGACTGGGACAACGGCTCCACTGCGTCCTCCATCACTTCCATGGCTGAATACACTGGTCAGTTTATTATGTTGTCTATTAACAGATATGTTACTATAACAGACCAGTAGTTGTGTTATTTATTGATCGGTGGATTTGACATGCCGTGCTCATTGTGTTGCTTGTCTTATTTTTCAGAATACTATAAATGGATGATTGTTTCCTGCCAAAGTGACGATTGCATGACAAGCACTAGTCATCCGACCTCTTTACTCTCTTAAGTGTTCCAACAACTATGAGATCTAACTGGCTTTTCTCCTTTAGGTCCCAAACTATTCAAAGAGCCCAGCGCCAAGTCCAATAAGCCGATCATCCACAATGCAATCTCCCACTGCTGCTTGGCTGGCAAAGTCAACGAGCCTCAGAAGAACCAGATCCTAGAGGTCAGTCCTCTAAAAACACCACATTATACACCGCTTTTTAAGCCAAAAAGTGAATTTCCTACTCATTTTGCACACTACTTCACTGTACTTCAGCGTTATATTAGCGCCGCATTAATTCTTATTACTCCGTTCCCCTCCAGGAGTTGGAGAAGTGCGAGTCCAACCACCTGATGATCCTGTTCCGTGACGGCGGCTGCCAGTTCCGGGCGCTCTACTCGTACTTCCCCGACACGGAAGAGATCCAAAAGTTGACGGGGACGGGACCCAAGAGCATCAGCAAGAAGATGATCGACAAGCTGTACAAGTACAGCTCGGACCGAAAGCAGTTCACCGTCATCCCCTCCAAGACTGTGTCAGTCAGCGTGGACGCCATCACCATCCACAACCACCTGTGGCATGCCAAGAGAGGTGCTGTGCCAAAGAAAAGCGCAAAATAGCAGATAGCCGGATTTCCAACCCTCCTTCACCCAAATCGTCTCCTCCCCATCTCGCTTGTTTCCTGAATAGACTGCATTGACGCCCATAGCCGCACTTATGGACTTGCGGCCCTCTGTAGGTGGACCCGGGCAGGAACGAGGGAATGTGTGTGTGTGTCTGTGTGTGTGTGTGTGTCTGTGTCTGTGTCACAGGTGGTCTGAGGGATCGGTGCTTGCAACAAAAAGGAATGCCGGCTGAATTCACCTCCCAGTGATCTCAGTGCGATCTATTCGGGTTTCTTTTGGCCCGGCTCGGTTTTTATACGACTCAAGCATGTGGCATTTTCTTCCTCTCTGTTTCTCTCATACGTGGTGGATGTTCTTCTTCTTTTTTTTTTTTTACATGAAGTATTTATTAGTTCAGCACTGTCATGGTCGAGAGCTCAGCTGCAGCACTAAAGTCTCTCCTTTCGGACAACTTGGGAACAAAGGGAGGGGGGGGGGGGCATTGGGGGAATTCTGTCGCTCTTTTTCGGGAAAATCCGAAAGCAAAGGACCTTTTTACAACCCTTCAGGACCGCCAGTCTGCTCTGCTGTCCCAACAACAATCTCTTCCTGCGTGGACTGTTGAATCGGTCGAATCAGGCTGGCATTGCCGAATTTGCCTCACCGGGGATCTCCAAAAAAAACAAAACAAAGCTGCTGCTCTGAACTGTCTTCTTTAGTCCCGGGGAGCTCCTCAGGTCTCCCTCAGACATCCGTTGGCCTTTTCACGCATCGTGGTACTATCGTCTATTTATTCAACCGCTTTTTAAACTAGACGCTGATCGTGTAGCACTGGATATGTGTATAGCAACAAAAAAAACAGAAAGTTAACGGTCATTTTAAATACTTTTTGTTTGTCAAAACATCCTTTTCAGGGAAGAATGGGGTGACGGATAGATTTTTGGTACATAAATTATGCTTTTTTTTTTTTTTTCTTTTCTTTTGTTTCAGCCTTTTTCTTTCCGATTACAGCGATGTGGTTTAGAGTCTGAGCTGATGTTATGTGTTTTCATCATAACGGATATTCTCTGATGTTTAGAGCTTAGTTGTGTTTTCTCGCTCCACTGGGCACTCTTGAATTGTCCTGTATAAAGGTGCACTCACGAACACTTGTCGACGGCTTCTTTCATGCAATGTAACTCCCCCCCCTCCCCCGAGTGTTTTTGTTGGCCCGTCCCGTCTTTAACCACGAGCGCGGCGCACACATTCTTGTTGTGAAGGGTGTTTTGCGTGTCGCTCTGTAACTGCTTGGAGTGACAGTATTTGATACGTTCAGAGGGGTTTGTGTGTGGGGACTGTGGTTCAGTTATTAAACCAACATTAAAGAACATTCCTCCAAGGTGTTGACAACAGCTGCCATGTTCTCTTCTCTCCGTCTTTAAAAGAAATACAAAAGTGCTTTTTTACAAACCGTTTGTTGGCCTCCAGAACAACCAGAGTGTTGCACGAGCACTTTACTTTCTGTTTGTTGGGAATTTAACCTTTTCAAATGGGCATAAACTCTAAGAACTAATTGATAATCCTGCTGTTGTGCGCTCGTACAAATTGTTGAAACTAAACCAACCTCTAAGATTTAATACTGACATTTAAAGTTGATACGATACTACTGCTGTCTCCAAAAACAAGCTGATACTTGATTTCTCCTTTGCTGCATATTGATTTGTTTTTGGGTGGACGGGATGGCAGATCCTTAATTGTATGCAAGTGTATTTCTATGTTCACTAAACGATTGTACTGGCATTTGGTCACCATTTTTGTTACACTAGTGTACTTTTCATCCTTGTTGATTTTATCTTTGATCCCATGCCATCTATTTATTTTACAAATGGAAGCACTGAACCGGAGCACATTTTCAAGTGAATAAAAGTCACATTTTTCATTTTTATTCTTTTCTCATGGCTTGATTTGTCCATTTGTGAGACTCCACTGTTTATGTTATTTCTTTAGACACCACACTGATTTTAGTCTTTGCACAACCAACAAGTTATTTTTTGGTTTTTCACATTTCTTTCACAACAGGTGAAGCTGTATCTTTTCACTGAAATGTTAGTTTTTCTTCCCATTTGTGAGTTGACTCTAACGACACAGGGTGGTGAGAATCTTCTCAAAGCAAAGAGGCAAACATGTATCATCCAACATGATGCTGGGTTTCCTCCCCTGGCGCTAACTGCCTCGCACTAGACCACCCAACTGGAACAGTGGCTTCAGCGCCTTGACGCCAGCGCTCATAACCATGGCAAGCTACGATGTTTCTTTCAGGTGATCACAAGACCCCCCCAAACTTTGTGAACTCAGTCCAGGTAGAGTCCAAGCTGTAGACCTGCACCCAGTGTCCACCATGATGGGTAAGTGCACAACTTCCACGCTCGTACAACACGTTAAAAATGATGAAATGTTGAAGTCGGAGCTGATCTGAGTTCTGTTTCTCCACAGCTGTTGCTGCTCTCGTCTTGTTGCTGATAAATGTGCGTTTGAGTCATTCTTGTCGCGAAGTGGAACAGGTTTTGATCTGCTTGAACATTCCATCAGGTGAGGACTCACCTTGTTTAGCCAGATATCTGGAAGTGATATCTTGTCTTCTGATGTAATCGCTTCTGTACCACAGCTTTGTAGAAACTTAAAAGTATAAATCAAATCTCATTTCCTCAAAATTATTCTAAATGTTTGTTACCTAAAATTTTCTCTTCAAAGTTCTGCCAATCATAAACTCTTTTAATGTAGAAATGCTTCGTCACATTAACATCCATGGATTTAAAGTTTGTGCATTTCTAAATGGTCTGCAGAAGTCAGTCTTGTCCACTAGATGGCAGCACAACTTTGAAATTGTGTCATGAAATAATAAATAGAATTGCTGCAAAATATAGGTTCATCATGTGTACATAAGTACTGGCTTTCAAATGCAGTGAGACATTGAGGTTCCATTTAATGCACTCATCTTGTATCTGCATCGCCACTGATACCATTTCTTTCTCCGATAGTAATTTGAATAAAGGGGTTTCCAATTTGGTCTGAAATCATGCAATGAATGCAGCTGATAAAGACTGCTGTTGTGTTGCAGACGACTGATTGCTGTGCTCTTAGCTTTCAGGCCTGGTTTTTCAACTCTGCTGCTGTTTATGACTGACGTCGGGGAGATAAACTCCACTGTGTTACACAGCGACAACCTCATCTCTGTAACCAGTCTCATATTCGACGACGCTGGTGTTACAGGAATCGCTGAAGGGGCCTTCAATTCTTTCATGCACCTCACGAATCTCAGTTTGAACCAGAACTCTCTGACAGATATTAACCCAAAATGGTTCGGTCGGCCGGACATCCTCAGCCTCACAGAAAACCACATTGAAGTTCTGCATGAGTCCAATCTGAAAGGGTTCAGTAACCTCACGAGGCTCAATCTGAGTAAGAACCGCATCAGAACCATTGATCGGAATAGTTTTAGCTCCAACACCATCTTGGCTGAGCTGGACTTGTCTGGGAACCCCTGGGGACTGTTCCTGTGGAGCTGAAGACTTTGTCGACTTCCTAAAAGGTTTGTAAAACATGAAGTCATGTGTTTCTAAAAACGTTTTTATAAACATAAAGCTGCTTCTCTTCTCAGATCTACGAAGCAGATCTCTGCTCGACAGACAGACGGAGGTGACCTGTGCGAGTCCTCCATCTCTGAGGGGTCGACCTGTGTGGAACGTGTCGGTGTGCGTGACGTCGCCTCCACCAAAACCTCCATCAGTGACGCAAACCGCCCACCGCAAACCCACATCTGGTACATCTTCTTTTCTCAGTTTGGAATTCTTCACGGTTACAATTAGGATTATTTGCCCCTTAAAAAATACAATGTGTGCTCAGTACCTCTGTTGTTCCCTCCAGCAAAAGTTGTGACAACACCTCCATCAGAGACAAAAACCTCTGTCCAACCCACTGATGCACCCGTCACTATGTCCTCAAACACTGGTACATGTGGTTCTTCTTGTCCCACTTTCTGTTTTTTTGAATGATTTATCATAAGAGTTTTAATTCAATGTGTGCTCAGTATCTCTGTTGTTCTCTCTAGCAACACCTCCAGCACGACCCACATCAGAGACTCTCTCTGTCACACCAAAACCCTCTGACATCCTCACAACGGTCACTACGTCTACTTTGAGTTCTGGTGCATGTGGTTAGTTTTGTTCATATTTTAATTCCTCTACCAGCAGAATTGGTTGGTGATATTATTTTAATATCATTAAACCTTTCAGGTCATCCACACCCCAAAAACTAATCTCACCTTTTCACCCGGTAGTCATAACATTCACATGATATTAAGACTCTTCTAAAAATAACTTCTTTCCCCTAATAATATTACTCATTTAGTCTGAACAGCACCACCATGTGGTCATTTGTCAAGTTTTCTTTTTAAATTAAATTCCAAATATACCTGAACTAATTCTCCACTGTGTCCACCATTTAGAATTTTATTTCAAACAATGTTTTGTTCTGCCATCAATTGTATCCAGTCTTCACCAAAGCTAGTAAAAACACAACAGTAGGCCCAATGTGTTCACAACACTTCCTACAAATATCAATTTTCTTTTTCTTTTGAAAATATTACTTTTCCCCTATAATTATAGTTTTCCTCTCTTAATATTTGTATTTTCTATTATTGTGTTGAGTAATAATAATAAAGGATTACATATTATTTAAGCCTTGCAAATATTAGTTTGACAAGAAATTTGTAGCACAAGATCTACTTTACTGGAGCTTTCAGCCTCATCTCATGGCCTTCAGCGAGAGATGGAGTTTGACCGACCATGTGGTTAAAGGTCTGAAAAAGAAAATCAGTGAGCGGAACTTGTTCTTGAAACATATGTTAAAATGTATTCTTCTTTTTCTAGAAGTTAAACCATTATTCATCATGATTGTCTCTATCAGTATTCTGAAGCACATGTGTATCCAGGTGCAGATAAACAAGATGAAAGCATGATCTGTTATTAAAATAACACATTTAGAGGACTGAGCTGCTTGAATCTCTTTAGTTGGTCCGTTGTTTCCATTCAGCAGCTCATGTGACGTCGCCTCCATCAGTGACGGAGATCTCTGTCCGACCTGAACCTTCTGACCTGCCCAGAGCTACATCTACACCCACTGGGATGGCGTGTGTGTGTGTGTGTGTGTGTGTGTGTGTGTGTGTGTGTGTGTGTGTGTGTGTGTGTGTGTGTGTGTGTGTGTGTGTGTGTGTGTGTGTTTCTTCTGGTCTTTGATACTTGAACCATTATGTAACGTGTGCTTCATGTGTCTGTTTTTCCTTCCAGAAACCTGTGCGACATCAAGACCATCGTCGGATACAAACGTTGTCTTCACACTGGTTGTTGTGATAGGTTTGTTTCTGTTTGATCGTCCTGAAAAATATCAACAGATGCTTGAAAATTCATTTCCGTTCTAACAACTTGCTCCTCCGCAGTGGTTCTTTCGTTGCTCCTGTTTGTGGGGTTCTTCCTGGCGGTGCTGCATCGGAGGAAACACAACAGCAAAGCCATGACGCCTGGACGTCCAGAGGAAAACAGACCTGAGTTGAAAGAAGGCGGCAGATCCAGTCGTGCTCCGTCTCCAGGAAACTCTGAGAAAAGAGAAATCAATCAGTGGGACTCAGAGACGGGATGGAGGACGTCCTTTACTGGAGTCAGAGCTAAGTCGGCTAATGCCGTTCTCTTCATGTCTCCTTTTTGTGCACCTGTGAAAGATGAAGTGACTTTGCAAACTGAGATGGAGGCTCAGTCAGAAGATGCAGGAAAGCAGAAACTGGGAGATGAAACTGAAGTAGATGGAGGAGTTGAGACGGATGATGCTGATGTAATAAGAAATGGTAAACAAGCGGAGGCTGGTGGAGATCTAGATGAAAAGTCCCACCGTGTTTCTGTCAACACTACTAACACTGTGCCTTATCTGAGCATCGCTACAAACCAGAATAAGCTCAGTCCTGATGATTTCAACAAACGGTCCACTGACGGTTCAGCTCAAAGATCACAGACGGGAAAAGTCATGGGGAGGATCTCCACCTGGCCTCCGACTGCCGTTCAGTGGCAGGCCAGATGTAAAGCGAAGGAGGACGAGGAGCAGGGGACGGATGTCTTCGCTGTTTGGACACCAATGTTTCCAGCTGAGGTGAAGACAGAGGAGCGTCCCTCGGGTTCTGACTGGGACAAAAAGGAAGACGACATCGAGAACAATCCAATGGAAGGTTTACGAACTGCACCAAACCAAGATCCTTTAAAAATGACCGCAGCTCCCGTGAGTTTGGGACACTCTCGGTCCTCAAAACCAAATGACGACACCACTTGTTTCAGTGAGGCTCTCACCCACACTGGCACGAGGCTAGAAGCGCAGCTAAAGAAGGAGATGATCCTGGACCCGACCACTGTGGGACGGACCCAAACTCTGAATGAGGGGAAACTTTGTCCAGATCAAGACCTGAAATCTGCAGCAAATCGTGCGCAGAAGAAGAGCAGCACCAAGGCAGAACAGAGGAACGAATTACAGCGAGCTGTGACGAGCAGACAGAGAGCAGAGAACGGCCCAAAGGCTCCCTCTGGCGGCGCCTCGCCAGATGACGAGACGCTGCTGTCCGGCAACGAGTACGCCTTCATGGACCTGCTGCACGAAGTCGTGCAGAACAACGGCCGCTGGACCCGAGACCGGTGGAAGCAGAAAGAAGCCAACAAGCAGCGGCGTCACGACAGAGCCGCCGAAAGGAGTTTAGAAAAGGATTCGCTTAAAGTTTGAAATGACGTATAACACAACACAACGTACAATATTGTAGTTTTATTCTATCACTCTTTAAGTTGGAAGAAAATAGTTTATTTTTACCTGCTGCGGAAATAACATGTAAAAATGATCTTTGTGTGAGATGAAGTAAACACTTAAAATAATTGTTTGACATTTTGGAGAACACTTCAATTAGCTTTTTATTGAAAGGTTACTGTACTATAGAATTCAGACTTAAGGTCATTGTATGAGCTACATTTAACAATGTAGAAACATATCCCGTCTAGTTGTAAAGATGCAACTTAAAACCAACGTTTTTACAGTTTTTGTTGCAATTAAACAAGAGATTTAATTAATTGTAAAGCTTTAGAGCTGCTGGTTAGTGGATTTTCTTTACCTTTGGCCATGGCCAGGCTAGTCTTTATGCTAAGCTAACAGTCTCTTCATAGTTGCCATACAGACACAAGTGGTATTGAGCTTCTCATGCTACTCAAAGAAAGATGTGGTTCCCAAAATATCCTTCAGAAAATTGTTTATTTTGATTTCTGCTGCAGTTTAAATGTAATCTCTGATTGCGAGATGAAGTCGATACTACTCAAATAAAAGCACTAATCAAATACAAGCACATATTCATCAAGTTGTCATTTGACGATCTGGGATCAAAAAATAAAAAGGTCTTTTCATGTATTGTATCTGGCTGCATGCAGCATTTATTTGTTCATATTTCATAGGTGGAGAAGTACACTCGCTCCTCATAAGAAAGAGTACAAAATGGATCAACCCCTTTTTGACAATGACTTAAAAACAAAGTGGAGGTAAACAGGATACGTAGGCTTTTGATAACACCTGGACACAACATGCATGTTCCATTCATATAAATACACAGTATCAAATAATGGCCCCAACTTGGAAGCAGTTGACTTGAATATGGGTTTCTCTAGCCATGGGACATCCCACTAAATGTACAAAATGTATTGTTCCTGGCAAGCTTGTATATCAAAACATGCTGTTGTGTTTACATGCCCCTTGTGGTATTTGTAAGTATGGACACTAGGAGGTCTGAGTGAGCTCTGTGCGGAGAGTTATAAGCTTAGTCGGGAGCGAGGACCAAGGAAGACGTTAAATGAATGGATCAGCACACCGATCGGATCTTCCATCGAGGTCGCTCACACTTTTACTCCTCAGCTCTCCTGCCCTGTAAACGGACGCTTGTAGAGGGCCAGTTAAATGTAAAAAAGCTTATGCTGCATCCTCAAATAAAAATCCATCATTACTGTCTCTTCATATTTCTTTAACAAATAAATAACATGGCTCTCACCAAAATACTTTTTTCAAACATCTGCAAAAATGAAAAGAACAAAGCATGACATGTTACTGCACGTTTGACTTGTCTTTGCATCACAGAGCTGAATACTGTCCACTGTGTTGTACGGATTAAAGGGTCACGCTGTTACGCTCTACACATCCCCGAAGAGCTTAGTGCAAACATATGTTCAAGTCCTCTTTCACTTTCCATCAAACAGAAGAGACTGAAACGATTTACAAAGTTCCTATTTACAGCGATTAAACCAAACATAAATGGAGATCAACTACTGCACACTGCCTTTTTACACAAGGTGTGGCCTGTACAATTTGGAGAGGAGAGCACTTTGTTTCAGCTCAAGTATGTTCCAACTATAGATTCAGACGGGTTACAGGATAGAAATGGACTCGACTGTGCCCGTCGCTGTCTGTGCAAAACGATTCTGCTACCAGTGTAACTGCACCTCGTTAAAGAGTTATGAAACTGGAGGATCACAATATGAATGAATATTTACCATCAACTTCAAATGAGTTCAAGTTTAAAAAGAGTAAATTAATTTTAAAAAAACCTGAGCCTGACTGATACGGGATTTTTTACATTTGATATGTCAGCCAATACTCGTTAGAATAGCTCGACAGTCCTTTGTACGTGCTTCTTCAGGTTTGCTTATTGATGTTCTTTTCTGAGAGTTAGACGAGAACATGGACACCACTCTGTCTGCCCGTCCCTTATGAAGCCACAGCTAGAAGACCGTTAGCTTAGCATAAACACTGGAAGCAGGGAGAAACCGCCCTCAAGTCTTCCTACCAGCACCTTAAACTCACAGAGAAACACTTCATCCCCCTGCTTCCATTAGCTTAACGTTTATGCTATGCTATGCTAAGCAGCTGCTTGCTCTAGCTGTATATTTAACATACAGATATGAGAGTGGTTTCAAGCTTCTCATCTCACTCTCTGCAAAATAGCAAATAAGCTTATTTCCCATGGTTTCAAACTATTCCTTGGCTGGCTATATACTTAATACATAAATATGTCAAAAACACAACACTAATACTTTATAAAAATAAACTAGAAATCACAGAAATATAACATGAATATGCATTAAATAAAGTAGAATGTGTTGTGGGCACAATTATTACATTTTTGGTTTTACCTTTCCAGCCCGACATAATTTTTGATCAGCTGAATTCAGCTGTTGATATCTGCTCGGCCAATAAATCGGTCAGGCTCTAAACTAAAAACACCGATATCACAATGCTCCCACATGCAAAATGGCAGAAAATCTACAAATAATTTAAAAGTTATTTACAAAGCAATAGAGTAAACAAAAGAACGGAACATATGGGATAGCAGACTTCAAATGGTAAAATAAATTAATTACTCTTTTTACAATCACAACAAAACAAAAAAAATCAGTGTCCGAAACAGCACAACAAAGGGAGAAATGCTGACAATGCTAATATGGCTGATAAACCTGCCACTACAGTGTGTATATTCACAGATGACACCGTCATAAAAAAAGTTTGTGCTCATAAAGAAAACAAAAATCGTGTCTGATTAGAAACCGACAAAAAGCAAACCAACATTTGTAATAAATTAAGAAAGGTGCACATGTAACATAACGAGGGTAACGTTGCCCCGAGATTACGGTTCTTTGCGAGTTTAGGCAGAAACGGGCGAAGAGGAAGTCGGCCCGCGAGGGCAACTTCACCGCTGAGTGAAATGATTTGATATCCTGTACAGCGTGTGCACGAAAACCCTCTTTCGACTGTCCAAAGACCTCTCACGACATCCACCAAGTCTCCCTGTCCTGTGCGAGGGTGCGAGGGTAACAAGTGTGCGAGTACTGAAGGCGTGCGAGTACTGAAGGTGTGCGAGTACTGAAGGTGTGCGAGGGAGGAGTCGGGGTCGATGACGAGGCACTCTTCATGCATCCTCCTGTAGCAGCTCAGTGGGGAAACAGCAGGTCTCTCAGGGCCGTCTCTTTAAAACAAATGTAGATTTATTTTTCTGATCCGAGGCTGAGAGACGCATAATGCACATTCACCATGGACCGCTGTTCTTGGTCCGAGACAAGCCTTCATCTGTGTGTGACAAACGTGCTCCGTCGGCCCCGGGCGGTGGCTTAGAGGTTAAGGTGTCAGGGTGTCGAGGACTGATGGGGGGGAGGGGGGGAGGGGGAGTTCAGAGGTGAGTCTCGTCTCTCGTCGCTGTGCCAAAGTCCTGCCGGTTCCTGGTGCCGGGTGCCTGCCCCACTTGTGAGTCCTCCGGCATGTGTGCCAGCGGGTCGGACCGGATAATGTACCTGTGGAGACAAAGTCAACGTCATCTGCCAGCATGGAGCGGTAGGTATGGATTTAAGTCCGGGCAGCACAATGTACTGGCAAATGATGAGCACAGTCGCAACCTTAATGGATAAGACACGCAGCAAAACACCCCCACCCATCGTTTTCTACTGGTCGACGTGAATCTACTGCAAACCAGGTGCAGTTTATTATGTGTGTTTTTTTTAAGTTATTGCTGCTTAACAGTAGTAAAGTGTCGTAAAATATGCAACCAAAGGAAAAAGAAGTGTTGTCGCCACACTGGTCTCCCACTATTGCATTGAAACATTGGTTGTTCTGTTTTGAAGTTGAAATTAATGTGTAAACGTGCATTTAATGTCTTAAAATTGCAGATTTTAATTTGTAATCTATAATCTAAGACCATGTAATCTTGCGTGTCAATTGGCCTTGCTTGTGATATGCATTACGGTGCATAAGGATACTTCGCTGTCCAATTTCCCAGCATCATCGTCTATCAACGATTTAGAAAAAGCAGCAATTGTGTCATTCGCTGCACTGATTTGGCAAATCACATTTTTTTTAGCTTTACGTCTTCCGTTTGTGTTACTGAAGGCGCTCATTGACGCTCTGTTACACGGCCGGTGTTCTTACACGATGTCGTTGAGCTCCAGCATGGTGTCAGGAGGAGGATTGATGAGGACGTAGGACAGCGTGTTCTGGTGGTCGTTCATCTCGTCTGGGAAAAAAGAGACAGAGGAGACCTTCAGTGCTGCTCTGGATCCCTCCATCGTGCTCTTCCATTATAGAATACATCAGCCAGGAAATGAGCCCTCTAACCACTGACAATATGAGACTCCCTCGTTTTAAACCTCTTAGTATCGGTGAGGCTCTTCTCCTAGTCTGGTTGTTCTTGTTACAACTGTTAACAATTACAATTTAACAATTTTTAAAATTTTAGTTACCTAATCCAATTGAGAAATTTATAAATCATGCTGACAAAACAGTTAATGGGAAATAAATGGCAGAATTTACAAGTAGATTTCACAGTTGATTCAATAAATATTTTGACTAAAGCCCGACCAATAACAGCTTTTGGAGGCTGATACCAATTTTGATATTTACAGGTTCAAACGATCAGCAGGACAATCCTTAATTCATGTAATTATCAATTGTTTTGTCAAGACATTGATAAACTAAATATTAAATAAAATTACTTTTAATACAAAATAATGTTTTTTTTATTTGTAAAATGTTTTAATAATCTTTTATCCAATACAATATGAACAGATAAACTACTTTATGTACTCTATATATAACTCAGCCTTCTATAAACAGTTACCTGTAAATTGTTTCCGCATTATAAATACATTAACAGTTGCAACAATATTCTTTTATTGCTTTCCCAAAATACTTAAGCCAACCACGGAAACTGTTTTGCACTATGGAGGTCTAATATCGTTTCAAGAATCAATAAGAGGAAACTGACTGTTACACTCATTCCTCTGAGGAGTCATATTACTGTGTGACTTTATGTCAGTGCGTGTGTGTTGTTCATTGTGTGTCTGTATGTGTGTTGCGTGCTCTCTGGCGGCGGCTCCTACTTGCTTTTACGTGATGGACGGAGGAAGTGAAAGGAGGGGACATGTGCCTCCATGACAACCCACCTGCTTGTGGCCCTTTATAAAGCCAGGCGGGGGGGGTGGGAGAGAGAGAAGGGCTAACCGTTACTGACAGGGCACTTTGAGGAACAAGGGGAGGCCCATGCTGCCTGCTGACTCAAACAGCTCCCCATGCGCAGCTTCACAACGGAGCCAACATGCAGACAGCGTCCGCGGCTACGCCACAAATCCAAACCCAACGCATTCCCTTTTTTTTTTACTCCTGCGCATTCCACACGGGACCAAAGGCGGCAGGTTGCCATGCTAAAGGACGACACTCAGCACCCCACACACACACACACACACACACACACACACACACACACACAGGGACATGCTCCAGCATCATCCGTCAGACTGGACCAAACGCAGAGCGACTCGAAACCAAACCGAGTGAAGCAGAACACATTGGGAGTGTGAGAGTGGAAGAGGTCAACCTGCTGCTGGATCATCACCTGTGAGGTAAACGTATTCTACAGTACTAGAGAGTGGAGAGAAAAACATGTGAGCGATGTTAAAGACTGCACCAATTAGTTTTTCTCCTCTAATCCACACTTTGTTATTGTAGACTACTCAGTGTATGAAATATGGATTATACCATGGCCACAGAAAAAAAAAAAGATAAGCCTTTATCTTGTCTTTTTTTTGGGAAAACAAACCTCACCCACAGTGCAGAAAGTAATGAGTCATCGTTTCGTATGGCTCTTTAGTCCAGGACGGATCAAACCGACTTTGATTGCCCACTTTTTCTGGTGTTTTTAGGTTTTTCTTTTATTTCCCATTTTGCTAGATTTTGACCTCCTGGGCTCCATCAAACCGTCACTTGGTCAAGATCAGACTGAAGGCAAACGCCCCTAAAACAAGCAAGACATACTGCTATTCCTCTTCCAATACTTAGCAATTCCTTGTACCCTGTACTCTCTTACACCTCTATCCCAGTCATGTTCCAAATATGTTAATATCAGTATTTAACGCTAGGAATTTAGTCAAAACTAGTAATGAAAATTGGATATTGATTGACAGATAGTTTGGTCAAGGTTCATACTGCAACCACTTGAGGCGGCAGAAGCTGGAAGCTTCAACCTTTTATCTCTTTTTTTTGTTATTCATTTAGACTCGCTAACTCGCTTCAATTAAACCACGAGAGGTCAACAAAAACAAGATTCTAACTGATTTTAGCGTTTAGGATCTTTAAATTTAAAGTCAGCACGTCGTCATCATAGTCGTGTGCAATTTAAAATTACAAACTATATTAAACTGCAGGCAACTATAGCAACAGCACTGTTTAAGTCTAACTCGCAAAACTGGAGCAAACCACAAACACATTTGAAGAAATGAATGGCAACATAAACAGTGCTCCTCTTTTTGCCTGTGGTTAAGTGGCCATGGTATAAGTGTGCAGATACACTTTGAGGTGTCCCGGTATATGGACATCCTTGTTTACACATCTAATGTTTGAATTTGAACTCTACATCTAACCTTCCATCCACAGACATAATGCGCTCCGCTCCACTCTTTAAGCCATACTCTGATGCCCTGCAGTACTCTAGCCATGTGGGACGTCACCTCACGGGAACACAATGCAGAAAAGACCAGGTAGAGAGAGAGAGAGACAGTAGAGCGAGGTAGGGAGAGATTGGCTGCTGATCTACCACTTATTCTGGCACAACACACACGCACGCGCACGCACACACACACACACACACACACACACACACACTCATGCAGTAAAGTTGCAGTACTGTGATCAACCAGCTAACCTGACGGCTTGGTCCCCTCTGTATACGGGTGCTTTGAAATGTCCTGCAACTCTAAGCAATGGCATTCACTGTCAACTTCAATATCCTAATTTGTGAATTTATAATTAACTACAAATTATATAAAACAGCCTAAGAAAAATCAGACAAAGGGGAAAAACACTTCTAAAAAATGATAAATCAAGATCTGTGTATAAGTTCAGTGCACTAATCTTCAATGGATGCTGGTGAAATTCCTTCCTCCACAAGATGGAACGTAGCCGCTCACACTGTCGTGAATGTGTTATAAAGAGCACACAGAATTACCTTGCAAATATCCTAGATTTACTCGATTCATGACATCGCTCGCAGTGAGATTAGAAACATCCTCTACAAGCCAAAGGAGGGAAGATAGAAGAATCAGAGTAAAAGAGAGAGAGACAGAGAAGAACAAAGGAGGGGGGGAAACAAGAAAAAGATCAGGCAGGCAGCAAAATGCATTTGCAGTTTCAAAAATAACTTCTTTTTTTAAAAAGGTGAGAGCGATGCAAAGCAGCCAGGCAATGGTGTGTGTGTGTGTGCACAGAATCACTTCCAAACGATTCATCTGACACATTATGATCCTGCCGCAGTAATCCTCACTGACATTCACAGTTCATAAGATGATCCCCGAGCTTTTTTGGGTTCCTTCCTGAAACGTATTGAAACATAATATTTCGCAAAGTGCACATCTGGAGCATGATTCTGCTTTTGTTTTGAAGCGTGAAGCTGGGAGGAGAGAAGAACTGAAGAACAAAAAAAAAAAAAAAAAAGGACAGAAGTGAGCAGAGAAGAGTGCAGGCAATTGCAGTCTGTGATCAAACGCAATTGAGACGAGGGTTTCGGTGCTCCTGCATCTCCATGCATGACGTGCTCACATCCACACGTTGAGGTATGAGCGTGACTGTGAATGTGTTGTGTAATGTGTGATGGGCACATGGAGGAAGACTTTGATGAGTGTGAAAGTGATGTGAGGAGATGAAGTTGATGTTAATGATGATGTAGTGCGATATTAATCATTTGTACTATCCCACAGCACCACATCTTATTCGACAGTAAGATGACATAAAATGACTGGAGCACAGATTGGAGTTTTCTTCAAACACGGCCGCACTCACGGTTGAAATAATTGAATTGGTTGAGAGTGGGTGGAGCAAAAGAATCTCCTGAACTCGCACTTGTTTTATTGAGTAAAAAGAATATTGATTTAATGTAAATGCTATATTCTATCCCTATATCTTAACTTTGCACTATATTATGTGTTAGATTCTCAATGTTACATTTTTGTGACATATTTTATAACATACTATTCTATAAGGTTTTAAAATTACATTTTTACATGATGGCATACTAAGACTTTTTAAGATGTTTTGATGAATCAAAACACATTTTTTCATGGCATACTATACTATGACTTTTTGTGACATTTTTTATGACATATTAAGCTATGACGAACGATACTATGACATCTTTGATGGCATTCGATACTAGGATACTTTATGACGTTCTTTTAATGAGATACCATAGTATAACTTTTCATGATATTTTTGATGGCATACTATACTATGACTTGTTTTGTCAATTTTTTTAATGACATACTATACATTTACAATCACATTTTTTTAGGACATACTAGATTATGACGTTTTGATGGCATACTATACTATGACTTTTTATGATATTTCTTTATGGCACACTACACCATTTTCTTCCTAAATTATATTCCTAGTGGCATACTATACTACAACTTTTTCATGACAATTTAATGACATACTATAGTATGATTTTTTATTTAAATTATTTATGACAAACTATACTATGACATACTACCCTTTGACGTATTCATAATATGATATATAAACTAAAAAAAAAAAATCTGTGGCTTGACACATCACATGACATGTCACACAATGTTCTAAGCTTAAACCTGAGATATTTAGGCCCCACCCACTAAAGTTCAACACAACCAATTTCATTATTTCTGCCTCCGTCAGCTGTGGCCTTCAAGAAATGTTTATAGTACCGAGACTCCAATCTGCAAAATAACATCATTTGCATCATTATCCATTTTCATGCACATTATGACTAATTATGCTGAAATTACAATGATGAAAATGAATAACCACCAATACTTTTTTTAGTATGCTATACACATATAAGTCATATGTTGTAAAGCACTGCATTGAGTTAACTTCTACATAAAGCAAAGACTACTTATCTCTCTAAATCTCGTGCCATCAGCTGTTCCACTCACCGTATCCCACGGTGGGCAGGCCCAGGTGCTTCATGCGATTCTTGACCAGCTCGGACAGTTCCTGTCGCTCGGAGCGTCGGTACAGGCTGAGTCTCTGCTGCGAGATACGCTCTGCTCTGCTGGACGGTTTGGTGGTCTTCCTGCTCAGCCGCCTTGCCCACTGCATGCTCTTCTTTCTCAGCAGTGGGTGCTCCGATTGGTCGCTCGTGGTGGAGTTCCTGTGGGCCTTCTTCTCCTTCCAGGACTCTCCACGCTCACGATGCTCCTCGCCTTGCTGCATGTTTATGGACACCTGAGACTGGGAGAGCAGGGTGGCAGTGTTAATGCTGGATACTATGTGTGAACGGGTTTGTGTTGGCTTCACCGTTTTGTTATTTTTGTTCAGTTTTTTTTTTAAAGAAATACCTGCGTGTATCACAATAAAAGCAAACTTTCATATTTCAGGCGCCTGCAATATCAAGATGTGACGGCAATGAGCTTTACATTTTGATAAGCCAGAAAAATGCCAGTATTGAATTATTGATCGTTGTGTGCTGTAAGCAAAAAGAGGACATTTGAGGAAAATATAGTACAAATTATAAACAAGCACATTCGGATCTTACCTGTGCGTAACTGTCCTTGCCCTGAAACAAGAGACGGACAAACAGACATCCAAACAAAAAGAAATGCAATGAAAGACGGAGGCATCCAAAGCAAACAAAATCATCCAAAGCCTCAAACGTTTGCACATGAATTATTAAATATAGTGTATTTATAATTGTATTATTCACTACTAAAATGGTGGAAATTAACACTATTATCTAGCAATGTTACATTTCTAGTTTGTGGCTGGTGAGTTTGGATCTGACATTAGCCACTTACATAACCTGCTAAATATCATATAGGGCCGATTTATTTTTTATTAAATCACACAAAACCCTTTTGTTGGTAATGCCTCAAATGCATAATTTTCCTTTTTTAATTTCCTTCTCCTGGCATCAAACAAGTAGAAGAGAGAAATGCAAAAATGAGGAAACAACGATGGATGAAAAGCAACAAGAAAAAGCATTCAAAGCAGCAAGTTAGAAAGATTACAAAACCCAAAGAGAGGGTGGGAGAATGGAGAGAAAAATTGAATTTCAAAAAGAAAAAAAGGAGGAGAATGAGAGGTGAACATGAGGGATGAACTAGGAGGAGTGAAATAAAAGTAGAAAATTTTCAAATCATGGAAGGACATTTTAAACAAAGAAAGAAAAGAAGGAATGAAGCAAACACAGAATGAGGGAATGAATAATGAAAAGAAGCTAAAGCGGCAGTAGAGCCTCAGCTAAAGCCAAACCCAAAGCGAGGTCGCCCATATTAAGCGTTTGATAAAACTGAACTTGCTTCTGAGGTTGAGAACATGTGCGACTCCGTGCGGTAGATCCCTATGGGGATCTCGGCGCTGGAGGAACAAAGCTTCTGGAAGAGTCTGCCATAAGTCCTGATCCACAGATCCTCTTCTGTGATCTTCATCTGAGGACGGAGAATAAGAGTCAAGTAGATACAAGCACAAACTCATTTACTCAAATGTTTAGCAGTATGAACGTTCCGACTCACAGCACACAGGTACCCAGAGCCAGGCGTGGTGTCCAGACCAAGAAGCAGCCTCGCAATAGCGATCATATAGTCCTTAACAAACGACTGTTAAAGCAGAGAGAAGGACTGCGGTGAACTATTGTGAACAAGCCCAGCCAGAAACGCCTTGTTCAGAAGTCAGGGTTAGACATTTATGTACATATACTTAGTTATCCCACCTGGTAAAGCAGTGTATCCAACATGCTGATACTGAACACCCTGCCCGCAGCAAACGGCAGCCGGAACATGAAGGCCAGGTTGGAGCCCTTATCACGCTCCGTCTGGAGAGAGAAATAGAGCAACCAGATATTCAAATTTAGTTTACTGAACTATTGCTCTTTTGCTCCATCTGCAAAAGGACTTCAAGATACTACTAAAGTCCATGCTTTCTGGTGAAAGTCTTCACAATTCCTTCCGTTTCTTTTACTATCAGTGCTGGAAAAACAGACGTAAGGGCACATGAAAAAGCACTTGAAAATATACAGGGGGAAGAGACAAATGGTACGTTTACCACTAAAGACACAACACATACAAGAGTGTTTTTTTGAGAGTTGAGGTTGAGAATGAATAATTGATTCCCTCAATCCTTTAAGACTCATTTGAAACATTACCCTGCTAGACATCATCTTCGTTAATGCAGCTTTGATCAGCCTTTTGAAAACATGGATGGACCACAGAGTTTCACACCTTTTACTTTCAGGAAGAAAAGAGAACAGAAGTCGAAGTCGTAACATGGTTCTTTCTCAACAGCTCACCTTCTCCAGTTTGGAGAGAGCGAGAGAGTAGCAGTCCTTGGCTCTGAACTGCATGAACCTCATGTTGGACGGATGTGTGAGCTCCGTGATGATGCTGAGACTGGGGAACAACCTAAAGAGAGACGGATGTTAGTGAAGGGAAGAAATGCTTCGTGCTGAGGGGGAGACCCCACGTGGCAGTGATAGATGCTTTTAATTTTGGTTGCTGAAAAAAAAAAAAAAAAAGTACTTTGTCTTTGAGACTCTGAAAACAAGCATTTGCTTTCCAGCATCTTTACGAGAACAGATAAGGGAGTTAATTAAGTGGAGTCTGATGCACATTCGAGCCAACACACAAAGGTCTGGCTCAGACGTAAACAGCCGCATGGTACCAACTGTTTACTGTACGTTTCTACACAATGAAATGCTCCCTGTGTTACCTGAACATAGTCTGGACGTTGACGATGGTCTTGGCATCTGCCATGTAGTCCTCCTCGGCGCTCATGGTGCTCTCCTTGTCCACAACCACCAAGTTGTCAGCGTAAATTATGCCACATTGAAGCAGGTTGTCCAAGCTGGTCCATTCACAAAACAACAGTGTTCATAACGGCATGACATGTCAGGAAATATTCCACCCTGGATATTATAACAATGGCAATATCTGTAATGTTCAATGTATTTCTATTCTGTAATTTATATCATTTTTGCGACATATTTTGTAACAAAGATAGTTTAACTACATTAATTTTAAGACATACTAGAATATGACACATTTTTATGGCATACTATACTATAAGTCTTTTAATCAAATTTTAACAGCATACTGTACTATTGACATTTTTATGAAATACTATGCTACGCGGTTTTTATGGCATGCTATACGATCACATTTAATCACATATATTATGGCATTTTATGACAAACTTTACTCTGACTAACTCTTTTGGCATTTATTTACACATACTATACTATGACTTATTTATGGCATCTCTAAGTCATACTAAACTATGATTAATACAATCATTTTTTCACATTCCATGTGTACAGACAGTTACAACGTTGATGTTGCAGTCACTCCCTTTTTACCTCGGCGATTGCTTTTGATTGGACAGTACAACAATGTTTCGTAGCAACCAAATTACACATTGCTGAAATCTTAATTAACTAAGCTCGCTTAAGACTTAAAGGTCCAACCTGGGTTATTAAATCACTAGGTAATAACTCGCTAATGTATGTGGGAATAAGAATAGGATTTATTCACGAGGCAGGTAGCTGTAATACAAATGGAAAAACTACTACCGAGATGAACGTGATCATAAAATCAATGAATCAAGCGAGCAGGTTTTCATAGGTTTATAAATAATCCAAACATACTTATCGATTGTGCCAGCCATGAAGTAAACCATTGGAAAGCAGCAAATGGCCTCTAAGAAGTGGTTGTCTGGCCTGCGGGAAACAGGAAACATCACGAATGAGCCTGCCAGACTAATTATCTCTGGAAAACTCCAGTGACACTTTATGACACTGCTGCTGCAATTTCCTGAAATTAACTTGTTGGTCAGGGAAGTGCAGAGGCTGTATTAACTGGATTCATTTCCATGGCAAAAAAAAAAAAAAGAAAACGTATGTTTAAATTCTTAAATTCTGCAAGAGGATTTAACGGGTTGCTATGAAAACCCCCGAGGTCATCACTCAGCTTTCTTGGCTCTCGGTCGGCATAGTTTATTGGTTTCAGCGACCGCAGAGATTTGGCCGAAGTTAATAAAACTCAAAGTGAGTTGGAGCAGAAAACACACACCAGACACAGAAATGTTTACATACCCTAACACACTTCCTAGGCTTTCTTATGCAGGGACGATTGAATAATGCAAAAGCCATTTCTTTGAAGTAACGCTAACCCATAGTTCCAACTGTGCTCAGCTGACTGCTTTTTGGTTGTTTTAAATTACAAACTCACGGAGCACCGGAACATTTTTCAAAAATCTATTTCATGCATCCACAAGCAAATGCAAAAAAACACGAACACACAAACGGGCACATCCACATCCTCACACATTTTGAACTTTGATTCAGTTCTCTACATGAAAAAATGCTTTTTATCAATAATGTAAAAACTATTTTCCTATACTTTGAGGCTAAGTATCCCATGTTCATCAAGCTAAAATAACTAACTCTAACAGCAAAAAATTCTGTCACTTTCATTTTATGCTCATATTAAAAAAGCAGATCATTTTTTATCTGTATCAAACTCTGAGATAATTGAAATAAAGAACTAACTACAGAATTGTAATAAAAAGTTCTAATACCACTAAACCTTTATCAACATGAATGCACAGCTGTATCAGTCTACTGTCTATCTGCATACCATCTCATCTTTATAGTGTTAAACTGTAACTATCGGTGTAGGTAGTCCATGTGTTAGAGAGGCCTCTATACAAACGCATTACTCTCGAGTTTTTTGAAGTCATCATGAAAACGTCGGTGGTTTTACGTCCCTGTAGGAGTAAGAACAAACAAATAGGACTGTTAAAGGTCTTACTGGTTGTCCAGCAGTAGCACTATGGGGTTGAGCTCCTTCCTGGGCCGATAGTAAGCACGCAGAGGGACAACGAAATTGTAGAGACCGTTTCCCGCCGTCTCTGCGGACACGATTATCAGCTTATTCTTGAAGCCGTATGCTTTGGCATCCTCAAAGCTGCTATGTATGCAGCCCTGGACGGAGACAGACAATTCAACAGGAAGTCAGTCAGGTTTCACTTGTACTGTGCTTTTAGCAGATATTTTACATAACATACATGTGTTATGTAAAGATTGTATATAAAGATTGTGAAAAAAAGGTTAATGCATTTTTTTTTTTAGTTTAATCCTAAACTGCTTCTGTCTGCTCCTGTGTGTGAATTCACCTTGTCAAGGCGAAGGCAGCAGAATGGAGCTTTCTGTGGCAAGAGGTGGCACAGAGTTGGAGAGCTGCCGATGTAGGGCGAGTTGGGAGGGTAGCCCTTCACAAAACTGATGGAAAAACAAACAAGAATTTACCAAACTTGAACATTGTAATAACATAGTGTCAACGAACTGGAGTAATGAGAATTACCACCTCGTGGTTGTATGCCAACCCGTCAAGTTGTAATTTTGATCCATGTCTATCCGAAATGAGGTCACAGTGACATTTACTTTTGACTGCTAAATTCTAATCCGTGAGTCCAAGTTGATGTTTGTGCCAGATGACACAACCTCACACAAAAATAGTGTATCCCCGAATCCCTTTTCAATACTTTCATCATTATTCTATCATGCTAAATATCACCACTAATGACTGCCAGTAAATAACATTTATATCTTTCCGTTTGTTAAAATCGGTTTTGTTCAAATGACTGATGTTTGTAAGCCCGAAGGACTCATTCCTGCTCAACACAATCTACACAGGCAATTACAATGTTTTTGTAGTCTGTTTAGTTTTAATCGTGTCTCATTTTGTTTCGCAACAATTGTGTTAGTTTGGTTCTGCGAGCCTCAATTTGTAAAATGCCAGTTGCAATTACCCTAATCAGTTTCACGGTGCCCTCTAGTTTACCAATAAAAGAGACTTTGTTTATGGATGCATATACCGGATCACCACATGATGGCACTGTGGGACCTTGAGCAGCTCGGTCTGTTTCCTGCAGACAATGCAGTTGCCTCCATCCCCTCAACTACTGTGTCTGACATTTGTTAAAGAATAAAAACTACTCAAGTGTCGAGAGGCGCAGTAATAGGGGCTCAGAGGTTAGAAGGACCATGTTAAGTCCAACTTTATAAGACCCAATAACAGTTGCTGTTCAAAAAGACTGAGGAACAGACTGTGAGGCACAGAGGCATCCAATCTGTCCTAAAGTTATCTCCAGCTAATGAAACCACATACAGGGAAGGAAACGAGAAGAACAAAACTGCTGAGATAAATTGATTACTCTGACTCGCTGAATTGCTAGAATGGCGACTGATAGATGAGCGTTGAGGGGTGAAGATCTAAACAAGGACATACAGCATGAGCTTCACTCAAGAGGAAAAGTGATGACCCTCCCTGTCATGACATACACATTCATCACCGCCATGTCTGCACCATTACAGCATCATGACACATGGATTACATGCCTATTTCAAACCTATCACTCTCTCCTCCTACAACCACTGAGACATGAGGAAGAGGAGGTCAACAGGTGACATCAATCAAGTTTATAGAGCACAGGACGCCGGCAATATGAGGACATTTCACTTATTTTACTGCCACATGACAATACAAAACCACAAAATCTCTTTTGGGTCAATAACATCACTCACTCTGACCCTACAGAACCCTCCTCGTCTGATTGGTTGGTCTCGTCCTCCGATTGGTCGCTGAGGAGGTCGCAGGGCAGAATGGCGGAGGAGTCAGCGATCTCTAGGACAGGCGCGATGCTCGGCCTGCGGCTTCCAGAGCCGTTCTCCGTCGGCAGGGTCAGCTTGCTGCTCTCCTCGGGAGGATCAGGGTTCTGGAGGTCTATGGCCACAGTGCCTGAAAACGACGCGAGGCTATTGCATGAGCAGAAAACTAGACAGCCAGCATGTGAAATAGCATGTGCAGCACTTTTACTGTCACATGTTGTTCAGACAACAACGCATGTTTGCGCATTAATGTCTTAGTGAATCCGTAACCATTTTATCTCAGAAAACACTCTTGTGCTTTTTCATATTGTATATGTATTAGTAATACAGTCTATGTTCAGCTTATTCAGCATCTTTGCCACTCACGACCCGATCACCTGCTTTAGCTCAGCTTTACCTTGAGGAGAAAATGTATTGCTTTCATCGATGTAATTGTACTCTCAAGTTACAACAAAAGACATGCAAACAGTATTGACATTGTATGTGTGTCAATAAATATATCCCTAAAATACATCATACTAGCTTTATGATGTATGCACATATATCCGGCATATCAGATACATGATGATATATGCACAATACATATATCAAATACATGATATACTGCATGTACAATACATATAAAATCTTCGATGAGAAAATTAGATTTTAAATTTTTAAAAAGATCATTAAAATCACTAAAGAATTAAGAGGTGTTACTAACAATAAAATATCACTGTGTGCTGCACAGTGTATATCATCCTGTCAAGTGTAAAGTTTGTACTCCTTAAATTGCAGGACTACTAAATATGTGTGGAAAAGTGATGCATCATGCGCAAACTTACCATATGCAGTGGCCTGATCAACTTTCACAGGTCGAAGAAAAAGCACAACAAAATAATGTCAGCCAAGAAAGTAAAAACGCATGTAAGAAAAAAGTCATGCATAACAGTCAGCGAAAGCGTACGGCATCACCAAGGCAGCCACCACTCAGAAGTGTGAGTAAGTAAGCATCAGCAACAAAGCATCCATTTCCTCTTTGTACATGAAAACCCTTTCAACCTAACGAATGTAAAACTGTCTGCAAACTGAATACACAGCATCTTCTATCTCCTTTTCAGCTCCGAGTCTCACCCATGCTGGCGATGATGCTGTGCACGGGCAGCCTGGAGGGGGCGTCGTAGAGGCCGGACACAGACAGGCCCTTGTTGTGCTTCTCCTCCTCTTTGAAGATGAAGGCCGAGTTCTCCTCCTTGGTGATGTTGATGTAGTAGCAGGTGTCTGTGGCAGCCATGATGTGGCGGGGGCCCGGGTTAAGGAGGATGCTCTTGTTGTCCTCCCTCTTCACTCCGATCAAACACACACCATACCTGGGAGGTAAAGTTCAAAATTGTTCTTTTTTGCTCCCAAAGACATTAGTAATTACTCTGATTAGATTAAACATCATTGTAGTGTGTTGAGACTAAGCTAGTGGAAGTTTTACTAACTTCTTGTGGGCGTGGAAGGAGGCGTAGGTGAAGCTCTTCCCATCATACTCCCCAAAAAACTTGCTGTCACACAAGCGGATGTGGTAGACCTCGTTTCCAGAGCAGCGTCCATAAATCTTCTGCCACTGCTCCGGGGACATCTGCCCCTCCCTGAAACAGCATTATCATCATAGATACTTCAGTAACATGAAGTGTCAGACTTCTACAATGGACTGCTAACATACAGCAGTTTTTAAGAAAATAAAGATGTTTTGCCGAAATTAAATGTCAGACTATAATATATTGACTCAAAAGGAATTTCCAGCGAGGGCACGTTAAAATAATTTCGGACCTTATTTCCCCCTAGACTGATAAATCTATCTAACCACACAAGCTTATATTCACAATAATGATGAAGAAAAAGAGAAATGGCTGAAGTTATTTCATTTAGGCAATTCATGTCCTTTCAATGCGATAACATTTAAATTAACGACTGCCAAAAGGAAGTCTATTCCCAGTCCTGTCACCTTCACAGCCCCAAGTCAGGGCAAGTTATTCAAATTAAAATGGAAGAGCAGTGAAGATATAGTGGTCACCTTGCACAGAATAATAAAAAAACACAGCTAGATTTATTGCCAAGCAAGAACCAGGGTAATGTTTACTGACTTGACAGAGACAAGTTTCTGCAATGGTGACCGTACAGTAGTCAGCTCTGTAGAGACAACAAGCAGCTACAGTCTGTATAAAACACCTCTGCTGCAGGAGCGATAGGCACCTTTCTCTATTACTCATCATCAAGTGAGATTCTTTCAACAGGAATAATGACACAAAGGGATATTAAACATTAACAGAGCAACCTGATTTAGCAAGAGACAGAAGATGTCAAGCTCTCCTGCTACTGCTTAAAAACATATCGAGCCAAGCAAAGATAACTAGGGTCACTAACAAGTTTAATGTTTTAAGAAAGCTGTAAACTTAAATTACAGTTTTAACTAAATAACCTTAAAGGAATAGTTGGGAGATAAGCTTCTTTGCTTGCTGGGTTGAAAATATTGATACTACTCTCACATCCATCCGGTACACAAGAATCTGCAGCCAGAAGACAGTTAGCTTAGCTTAGCATAACAACTAGAAACAGGGGGAAAAACAGCCTGGCACTGTCAGAAGGTAATAAAATCTGCCTACCAGGATCTCTAGAGCTCACTGTTTCACAGCATCTTATTCATTTAATCCGTTCACAAACCTGTTGGTAGGCAAATTTTGCTAGATTTGGACAGAGCTAGCTCTTTCCATCTGTTTCCAGCCTTTATGCTAAGCTAAGCTAATCATCGCATCCCATCTAATGGACAGACATTTGAGTTGGTATCGATCGACGCATCTAACTCGAGGCAAGAATGCGAATAAGTGCATTTCCTCAGGGATCAAAATTCAAACGATTAGATTACTTAGACTGTAAGAGCACTTTCTTATATTTGATAACTTTTAAATTACCTCAACTTGCAAAGCATGTACAGTATATTACTTTGAGAAAGTTGCAGGACCGTAGCATGGATAGCACTGCAAATCCACAAACGCTAATGTTAATTGTCGTTATTGTAAAGTAGTAGCGTGTACTCACTGTCCTCTGGAGGTGTGAACCAGGAGTGTGACTAAGGTGGACGTGGCGGGACACACACAGTTCAATGCCAACATGGCATACTTGAACTCCTCTTCACATACTACGTGATCTGATTGAAATGGATACATTGCAATGATACAGTATGTTAGACTGAGGCTGGGTTGCACCAACAAGGATTTAACTGCAAATCATGTTGCATATAACTTTAAAACTATCTTAAAATTAGGATTTAAACTAGACCTCTCTTTAAACATCAGTTTAGTTTTTACACTTAAAACAGTTTAACTTTTAAAATGGCTGCCTTTTTTAAATGGATTGAGTAAAATAATCAAGTAATCAATAAGTAGGCAGTCTTCACAGCACTTACCTGCAAACTTCACATGGAATTTATTTTCTGGTTTGAGAATTTGGACGTAGAGAGGGCAATTTGGAGCAAAATCTTTTGCAGCCCAAGCCCTCAAAATAGTCTGATGATCCTGTGGGACAAGAAAAGGCTCCATTTCACTCATCCAGCAACTCATTTGTAAATGCAATCTGAATTTTATGGACCATAAAGTTTTCACTCAGTGACTCAATGTGATCCCAATACTCAATGGCAGGGCCACAAAATCACAACGTCGTATGAATATCTCAAACGTTCTCGGCTAAATTGTAATGGAGGGGAGTGTGAGGGGGGAAATTGCTCCATTTAAATCATTGGTATCGTGAGATAGTTTGTAGTGGACTTTAAAACTCCTGTTGACGAGACTCACAGCAGCAGTTCGGTCGACCTCGTTCCTGCTGCTGAGGATGAAGCAGGCCTCGGCATCGTCCATCCTGAGCACAGATGGAGAGAAGAGACAGAAAGAAACAAAGACAGACGTTTCACGGGTTGACTGTGAGGAGGACATTCAGCCAAACATAAAGTTCATTATTTACAGAGATCAATGCTTTGTAGAAAAGCCAGGCAGGGGTGAGTACTAATGTCCTGTGACAAAAGCTTAACGGCTCCATTCTAGTGTGAAAACAATCCTGCTGATATTTGACTTAAGAGCGCAGCGCGAGCGACACACGAGGGGCAGAGATCATTCATTTGTGACAGTAGACACACGTGAACTGCTGTATGAAAAGTTTGAAATCCTTCAGCCTAGCAGGGCTGATGTTTCCATGGGGCTTACCTGTCTGGGTGATTTTATTTATCACATGTTGGTGCGTGGAATCGAAACACCTGCATAACGTTGCACATTGAAGAGGGGCTCTTAAAAAAAAGGAGACGGGCTCCTGGACAGATTTATTTTAATTCACACTATCATGTCCTAGTGAGAGGAACTTAGACTCCATTTCACTGGTCATTCTCATCATAAGCTGCAAAACGTCTGCCAGCCAGCAGCAGGATCCGCCTGAACGGCACGTTGGGGCTGGAATACTTAGTAGGGACAGAGACAATATGAACAGGTCAAACATATTCCAGTGTGATTATTACCAGTCTGTATTGCTGCCCCATCCTATGTGGCCTTTGATGTGAGCAGATGATCAATGTAGATTGAAATCCCATTACACTGATGTGCAAGCAGAGGGCAGCCAAGTGAACGTGTAAGTACCCTGGACTCTGATTTTCCAGTGGAGGACTTAAACTTTACTGTAATTTAAAGATTCTTATTCAGAAAGTAAAATGAATAAAACATAGATTTTGTGCTAGACTTAAAGTCAAACCTTTTAAACGACATTATATGCAGGTTGAATGACTGACTTTGTTAGACATTAAAACAGGGCCTGGTTTCATATAGCCTGATAATCACATTGAGTTGCCATTAAATACACTAGTCGGTGCATACAGTATATGCGGTTTTATAAAGAAAGGTGGAATCAGAGATGTAATAACTCACTTGGCCCTCATCAAGTCCTGGTCCTTGAGGGCAGATCCTTGAAGGTAGATGACCCTCTGGGACCACAGAGGGATTTGGAGGATACGGCGAACCTGAATGTCTATCTCCGTTGGACACAGGATCACCACATAGTAGTCCTGCAAAACAAGGTTTACGAATGCATTTATTTGAATCATGCAATATTAGATAATGTACAGGCTTTTACAGCTAGCTGCATATCCTGCATTTATCCTACAGCAATACTACACAAAATAAAGTTTGTGAATTTAAACATAAATCTATGGTTATATTCATCCTGCTTATCACTTAACCATTCATATGCTGCCTTGATTTTTCATGTATGGTATTTATACTGACTACATACAACTGTTTTGTTTTGGTACCTGTAGTCTCGGATGAGCGTAGAACTCGTTCAGGAAATCCATCAGCAGGTCAATCTTCAGCGAGCTGACGCACAACACCACATGTTTCTCTGTCTGCGCCCGGTGGCGGCTGTAGTTCCCTCCTAACTTCTGGCTCTCTATCCACAGGTATGCTAGTTCTTCAAACTGACAAAACAACAACGCAAGACTTAAATTAATAATAAATGACAGATTGATTAGCTGTCTGGACACGGAAAAACTGAAGTGAAAGTTTGCCAGGCAGCAGGAGTTCATTTGTATTGCTTCCCCAGCACGTCTGGGGAATACTCAAACAAGCGTTTGTGATCTTTAGAAATAAATCACACAGTGAATAGGTAGATTTATCATGCAGCAAGCGTGAGCCGATAGGACTCGGCCTGAATTTTGAGTAATATTTGCAGACGTCTTCTGCAGCCAGGAATGCCAGAGGAGAATGCACTTTATTAAGTTTGTACTTTCTGTAGCCTGTGATAGCTGGAAGAAAATGTAATTTCATATTTGATAATAGTCCCACAAAGGTCATCACTAGATGCAGAACATGACAAGAATTGCTAACGATGAGACTTACCAAGGTGTGGAACCCTTGGGGGGAAAAAACAGGTTAGTTCACCCTGCAGTCACTACCTGCAGCGGGAGCACCACCAGCGCAACACAGATGAGAATGACCACCAGCAGCTTGGAGGGCCAGATCTGTGGCGTGACGTCCCCGTAGCCCACAGTGGAGAAGGTGACGATGCAGAAGTAGAAGGAATCAAACAGGTCCAGGTGCTTCCCGGCTCTCTCTAGATGCTGGATCCCACAAGCTCTGCAGAAAGATGAGGAATTACACTTTATGATGCTACATCAGACATGTCTCCTATGGGTAAAGATAATTCAAATAAGTAAGCTTACTAGGGAAAGCTGTTTTAGCCCGGTGGACTGGATATAAAACTCAATTTGCCCGAGGTCAAAGGGCAGTAGAGTAAATACACCTTAGGCTCCACATCAGTGTGTCATTTAAAGTGACACTATTGATTGCTCCGTCGGTTCCACCTCCCAGCTTGTGCTAATAAGTAATTTGTGTTTTTTACATTGACAAGTTGGAGATTTAATGAATCAATCAATGGGGATTTCTGACTGGACAGAGTGGAGTGGAGGAGGTGGGTGTAGGCCAAAGCACAAGAAGGTGCTTAAAGGTACAGTGTGTAGACATTTAGAGGGACAAACTGGTAGAAATGGAGTATAATATTATTAGTTACGTTTTTTTTAAGAGTATAATCACCTGAAAATATAAATATTTGTGTTTCGATTACCTTAGAATTAGCCGTTTGTAACTACATACGGAGTGGGTCCTATTCACGCAGCTGGCCGTCATGTTTCTAGCCCAGATTGGACAAACGAAACTAACGTTTTTGTGAAACTATGATGTACGGAAAAATAAGAACGGTCAGCTGTGTTTTTCTCTTAATTCATCACATTGTCCTGCCGTGTTTTCTTGTTGTTAGTTCTTGTGTTTCACTGCTGTTCATCACCATTGTGTAATGATCTACCTTGTCCACCACATACTACTGCAGCTGTGGTAAAGATGATGTTTTTTGGGCCATGTGGTGCACAGTTCAGAGAAAACAGATTTAGCAGGAAATGCATGTTTGTGTTTAACAAGAACAGAGGTTCACTCACCCAGTGAAAACCAGACACAGTAAGGTGCAGATGAGGATGCACACCTGGTTGAACATGGCAGAGTGGGTCCTCTGGATGGCACGATGGAAGTCATTCTGGACATGGGAAAAAGAGATTACCAGATAGCTGGGTTTTTATTACCATATCCATACCAGTGACTGATAAGTAAGATACATTGCCAACTATAAGATGTGTAAGTTCTCCAGTCAAACAATGCTAAAAAAAAGGCAGTTACTGTCTTTATATTTATTAACTTTGCCCTGATGATGGCCATGATGGATATAAATTATTAACAAACTTTACACACAGTCTATAACCAACTCCACTGTCCTTTGTTGTCATACTACATTGTGTTTTCTCCTACTCCCGTCTTGAAATGTAGCAGCTCACGACTCATTTCCCGTTGCACCTTGTTAGCATGTTCTGCCTGCCACCGCCTCCCTTCATCGCCTCTCCAAACTGTCCCTGTTTTCTCTCCATGTGCTGGTCCACTTGGCCTCGGATTCTACCATCTGCCCAACTACCGCCTTGGCATGAGGCTCTTACTCTGTCATGTTCTCATCTGAATCACAGCGAGAGAACACACTACGCCAGTTGGTTATCATCTAATTGCTTTGAATTCCATGTAACAGCACCTACTGTATGGTAAATCCTGGACACTATTGATACTACAACAGCAGAATTCTGTGAACCCGGCATTTGTATCCCTTATATGTTTTTATGCTGCATTGCAGTGTTTTGTTTTGCCTGCATTTGCTGTTGGTTCTGCATGTGTTTGAAATGTGCTGTAGCCCCCAAAAACTACATTTATCATTTTCTTGTTCCGTACAGGCCTACAGTGCATTAAGTATTTGCACGCTTTGCAGTTGCATCATTAATCCCCCCCAGCAACAGCTGCTGGTGGCGAGTGGGAGTCAGAAGTAGCTGCCTATGAAACCATTCATAAAAGATACATACCTTGAAAAAAAATGCTGTAATATAGATGTGTGTCTGTTTAATTTTAAACCAGAATTCATATAATTTCTTAGGAAATTGTGTAAAAATGTCCTAGCGCCTCTTATCTTTTCTCTAAACAAGAGTCGGCTCAGTTACCCTGATCGAACGGTTGGTGTTGGCGTTTAAATTAGCCAGCAACCTAATTTATCAAAGCAACCAGCGTTAACAGCAACCATTGCCAACAATGTTACACAAACTAGTAGCAAATAACACTAGCCTCAGAAAGATGCATTGGCTGGTGCACAGTGTCAGCTCAATTGAATTCTCTTCGGATTGCTAAATTGTATAAACCCAGTCAGCCTTTATTGCCCATGAGCTAAGGGCCTCCAATATGGCTGTGACAGGATGGATAATGTACCTTCAAAGCCCTCAGTGGTAAAACAACAAACAAGCACAAACATGAGTTCCGTGTGCTCTTTTTTTTATGCATTACAGCTATTGAAAATACTTACGATCATGTTCTCCAGGGCACCTTTGGCAAGCCAGCAGTTAAGAAACACCGGGACGAAGATGTTTCTCAATGGATGCCAGAAGATCTTAAGGAAGAGAGGAAAGAAAGACGGAAGAGAGAAAGGGTGAGAAACATCAGTGACATATTTATTCGTCAACATAGCTGAGACGCGAAAGGAAATCGTTATTCTCGATACAGGGAAGACAATAAATTGACCCTTGGATGAGGTACACAGTAATTGGGCATTAACATTAGATTATCGTATTGCTCAGAGCAATGACCTTGAGTGTTAATACATTTTCTAATGGACCATATTGACTGCTCAGTTAATTAAATGAATTACTCACTGTGATTATAAATGGCACTGAATTGATCATCTCCAATATGAAGGTTATCTGGAAGATCTGCTCCCAAATGTTCCCCTGGAAAGCAAATTGATGGGAAGTGATTCAATAAACCAGCGACAGCGCAGATTGTTTCAGAGAGAAGATAATGACCGTTGTGGGAAGTCAGCCGAGACATGAAAACAATACTGTAAAACAGGCAAGAGGCAATGCTTTTGAATGTTATGAGTTGTAACTCCGTGTTACTCTAATAATACCATTAAAAATTCATTCTTTGGTACAAACAATTTCTGTATTGATCGGAGTTCCTCAAAGCTGGAACGGAGAGGTTGGTAATTATAGTTGAGTCGGGAAACAACACTCCTCATTGACCTGGTTTTGTTCTTCAGGCATTCAATGCACAATGCAAGTGCATGTTTGTGGAGCATGTTAATGATGCTTTGCTACTGCGCAGTGTGTATATACAGAAACAGAAATATTATACTATTCTTTGTAATTAAATCTCTCTCCATCACAAATGCTTTCTTCTAGATCTTAATGACTTTTTGAAGAGTTTACTTTGTAATTTAATGTATGTTGAATTCTCTGCTCTTGCTTTCAGACATGCATTATGTAAATTAAGATTATTAGTGCCCTCGAACTATTACATGCTGAATTATGTATTTAATAAGGCCTTGAATGAAGGAAAGCTAAGCTAAGAAAAGGAAAACACTTTGTGGACACTGGCAAGATGTAGGCCAGTTAATAAAGTATTTACATACAGTGACAGTATGGTGGCAACTAAGCACAGTCAGTGTGTGGGTCTGAATACTAATCACATATTGAGCAGCAAGGTTTACAAGGTTCAGTTTAGTGGTGGCCTTCGTCGATAATGCTTTTAAAAAGCTTAGTGAAGAAAATAAAAGTGTGTGACATCATTTTTGCAGTAGCTGAAAAAAGGAGATTTGTTCCTTCTTAAATATACGTAGTTAGTCCCTAAACAGTCCTCTGACAAAAGGGAAAAAAAGACATGGCAAGACATAAAAAGGATAAAAGAAACTGCAAATAATAAAACCCAGACAAAACGTCAGTGGATCACCACAGGGGGAGGAAGCTGAAACCTACAGAACATGTCCGAGAGACACGGACAGTCTCAGAGCAGCAAAGCTAAAGCTAAAATATCCAAGCAAAGACCATATTTCAGGTTGTATTTCTACTGTTGTACTGGACTGCATTACATCGCAGGGACTTTTCAATATGCTGTCAACCTCTTTATCAAACTGTACATCTCCCTCTGCTTATTCCTGCTCTTTAGGAGGAATCTCACACAAAGACTGACCCTTTGTATTAATGGTAACTTGAGTTATTTCCATAGAATACATAATGCTGATATCTTCGCTCACTAACTTGCACAGTGCTCCCTTTAAATGCATATCAAAACCATTGGAGAGGAACAAAGTGCACCTTTAGAGGACTCGCATAGATGAAACAAAAACAGCACTTCCAGCCCTGTGACCTGGTTTATGTAACTTGTAACTGTGCGTGGTGTCTGAGTCTAAATTTAGGGGCTAAAGTCTTCTAGCCCCGTGTCTCTGATAGGTGCATGGGCACTTGGACTGGACACTGAAAGCTGTCGGCTCATGAGGGAGTAGAAACGAGGTGTGCTGGACTTTTAATCAGACAGCTGTAAGGCATCAGCTCGGATTAAAGAGAGAAACTGTGCACCAGTTGCTTACCTTGTAGCTGAGATATGTGATGAGCACGGTCTCCAAGAAACTGATTAAGGCCACTGTCACCTGGAAAAGAGGAGACCAGTGAAGCCAGCAACAGCAAACTCATCTCTTCTGCTCTGCAGTGCTTGTATCTAATAAATGGCTGCTCATGTCTCTGGGTTGCTTGAAGATTTAGTTCAAACAGTGGAATTTGATTCACGTCTACTTTCATTTGGAGTGTTATTAGTCTCACCTGTATCGCCCATACAGATTCCCGTCTTTCAACGCAGAAAATCAACGACCTGTCAAAAACCATATGAAAGTTTTCTTAGGTGCATCTCCATATAATTGCAACATCAACAATGAACATGCTTCAGTTTATAAACAAATGCCATGAAGACTGAAACATACCAGTCGATTCCTGCCGAGTCTACTGTACTGTTGTTGCTCCGACATATTGCAGTGTGGAGATTAAAACTAACAGGGGAAACACAAAAAGAGCGTGAACGTGTGTGTGTGTGTGTGTGTGGAAACATTTTGTTCAGCTGTTATGTTGCCATAAAGAAGAAACCCACATGTCTCTAAAAGCTGCTGGCAGTGAGAACAATACACACAATCAAACTACTTCCACATGACTGCACAGACGGAGCAACACACACAAATAAAATCCTTTCAAAATAAATAAGAAAACATTAAGATGGCGCCTGGGTGAAGCCATCAAAAACACACATTTAATGTAGTTTTAATATAAATTAATGTTCTCTGGATTCATTATTTCATTCACATTTGTTGCTCTATGCACATGGAAAGGGAAAAAATCCTCTGGCATACCAAAGTCATGTAGTTAACTTCAAATATAATACCAGAGGATAATGATAGATGGCATTAAAGGTGATAAGGAGGTAAGAGAAAGGTTTCTTCAAAAAACAGTTTCTGGACAGTTACAGCCTTTTCTGAAGCAAAGGATGCAGCATTAACTTTACTAAGCATCAAAACATAGAGGAAATATAGGCACATCTGGGATGACTGATAAGTGGGGCTGCAGAGTGACTCTCACCATGGGTTGTCGTCGACCTCCTTGGGGTTATCCAGGCTGACCCTCAGCATGTAGAGGGCACAGGTGAGAATCTTCAGTGAGAAGTTGAACAGGCGGATTCTCAGGCCTGTGGACCAACAAAGACAAACGGTCTGGCTTACCGGAAGAGATGATCACCTGAAAATGAGTTTGTTTAGGTCTCTGACATTGTGGTTGGGATGCTTAAAGCTCTGCACACTTTTTACACAATCGTCCACCATGTAAAGTTCAGACCCTCCAGTTGTTATGACCGCCTCTGTCATTGTGAGTCTACTGCTGACGACAGGCGCAGCCAGATCTCTCCTCAGTAGAAAGTTGATACTGCTTGAACAGCAGTTGTTTAGGTGCATAAACGGCTTTTAGTGAAAGGCTTAAAGAGGCCAGATGTGTCGAAGCCCTGAAGCATGACTAATGTAGTTCTATGCTGCTCTGGCACCCCGTCACAACAGGTATCCTCTGATGCATGGCTTTCAAACCCTCCAAGAATAACACCGGCACTGTTATGGGCGTCTAATATGAAGATGGACTACACAGAGCAAGATAAATGACCGACGGGATGGCACAGAAATAGGCAAGGGGGATTGTAATGTTTGTCGAATCACAATTCCCTGTTTAAATAAGTGCAGTCAATTACTGGTAAGCACACACCACCACCAAATATGCGGAAACAGCCACTTGGGTGCAGACATGCCTGCTGGGCAGAGGGTGGTAGTTGTATTACCCAATTCCAATCAGCCTCAGCAGCTTCCCTAATATCTCGTGACACGACCTCTTCAGATGAAGCCGGTGTCGATGTTAAAATGATTTACAAAGAGAGCTGAGATGGCATAGAGCAACGGACCCCTGCAGCCTGGTCTGACATTTTTCTTCGAGTCTGCCGTTTTATGTCAAAGACTGCGGTGGCTTAGTGACGGTGACACGTTGAGGGAAAGACGGCAGATGTCAGTGCCGAGGATACGTTAACGACGTGTTCTACCAGAGACACAGAGTTCCCTTAGTGAACGTTTGTACAACTAGACGCAAAAGAGTGGCTTCCAGAACTGCTGTGCTGCACCAATGTCTCTTTCAGTGATGTTGTGGCATCGCCACTTTTCTCTCCTATTGAGAAAAACCCTGCAATGCTGCCTCGTTTCTCAACAAATGAGCCACTCTCTCTGTCCTTGCTGTGCGCACATACTGTACAATGCTTCACAATGAGCCAGCTAATGTACCGATAAAATCCAACTGAGTCCCAAGTGAAAAAAGGAATTTAATAAGCGTCATCACTGACTGCAATTTCCCTACATTATGCTTTTATTTGTTCATTTAGCTCTGAGTATATCTAGCGGCAGCAAGCCTCTTTTGCATTACGGGAAGAGAGGAGAACGGTGGGATGCTCCCCGTCGGCTGTACTTACTTGACCTTTGGTTTTTGATGAAGAAAAGCTTCAGCCTCTCCTTGAAGGTGTTTTCGTTCACATAGAACTCCACCTGCACCCTGTGGGGAGCAGTCACATGATGTCAGTGTAAATGTACACAGGTGAGCATGCACGCAGCACCGCCTGCCAACATATATACACAGAAATGACCAGACAGTGTCAATCATACCTTGGTATTATATAGAATATCAGGTGGGAGACAAAGCAGTGGATATGCAGTGAGATTACTTTGGCTGCAGACTAAGACAATACCGGAGCATCGGTACAGATACCAAAATGATATACTTGGTTTAAGCAATAGAAACACGTTTTGCAACAAAAATAAATATGCTATTTATTCCTGTTATTCCTGTTTGGATAAAAAGTACAGTGTCCAGCCGTTTCAGGAAACCATTAAGCCTTTCTATACTTGATGCAAAGGATACATTTCTGTCAATACATAAAAAGGACTGAGGTTTGATACCCAGCCTTATTTTACATCCTGCTATTGTTCAACAAAAATGTTGGGAATGTTAATTGTGCCATTGCTATAATTGTGTTGGGTTAAGCTTTCCAGTAAAAAAAAAAAAAAGAAAAGCATGTGCTTTGTGTGGAAATCTAGTGCAGGAAAAGATGGGCAAGTCTCCCTTCTGATAACACTAATCCCATTACCCTCCATTTACCATCAGTCGGTGCATAGAGCTCTCCTTCACTATGCAACAAAATCACCCACAAATGCATATGAGCTTGAAACTCAATGTGCAGCACTGGTACTTGTTAAATAATGCAGATTATTACATGAATAAATGGCCCATTTTTTTCAAACACTGACAGTCTCCTAATAATGCACCAGCTAGGACTTACATGCATACTGTAAAGATATGACACATGCGAAGGTAAGGTCTTATTAAATGCTCTACTGAGACATTCGATCATGCAAATTGATCAATGTGTGCGTGTAACGGGGACCAAGGAGGGTTTAATACTTTCCATTCGTTCTTGATATTTCATAAACCCATTTAGTACCAAACCACATAATCTGAAATGTTGTGTGTACGACAGTCTGTCTCACTCCGGTAAAGACCATTTTCTTCACATATACAAGTGAGAACATGAACAAACTTCCTGCTATATATTGACCATTATCACAAAAGAGTCCATGAATAAATTACAATCAGCTCCCTCCTGAAAAACTAGGCTACTTCAAATCACATGGACTGTTTTCTCACTGACAAATCCGAAGCAATAAAGGTTTTGGCGACATAATGGACTGTGACCAGGAACTTGACCAAACGACCGCTTAAGCACTGTACTGTAGATGAATACAGGTAGTGGGACAGGCCTATTAACAGTTTCTGTAATGTAGAGAGAGCTTGTTGTCACTAATGAGCATGGAGGGGAATTAACTATGGCCTCGTTGTTCCAGGAGGGACCCTTTAGATAGCCTTCCACCCTGCCTGACAAGATGAATAAAGAGTGCAAGAAGGCAAGAGAGGAGAGCAATTACAGCAGCCAAATCCCAAGATAGGCATGTATGTGCAGATTAAGAGTGTAGGTGGAAGAAAGAACATGAGATATGAACCATATTCCAGCTGTTCCCCTCTCTCCCTCTTCCAGGCTCTATTGCCATGGAGACAGCTTCACGGCAGGCTGTGTGTTATGCGTTTCCAGTGCAAGTAGTTAGCCGTAGCTACACACATACACGCACATTTTATTGTCTATAGGCACCAACCACACACTCACACACACACACCCCCCCCCCCCCCCGACTGCTCTATCATCAGTGGCTTATCAGGGGATCAGGAACGTGTGTCGTCTCCATTGACACAGCTGTCAGAATAGACATATAGGCAACAGCTACACAAGCTTCATGTTTACCCAGCTTGACTACAGACACCTGACCTGTATTACAGTCTGTAAACATTTGGGCGGAGACACATTGTCTGTAGCGTTGGCTCTGTATTTGATCAGATTTTATTTGAAACGAAACAATGATTATGAGGGTAATGACTGACTTTTAGCCCGGTTTGAGGGTGTTTTTATCCACACTGGATGAACCGTGTAGTGCTGCTATTGTAACATTATTAGTTATTCTAGCAGCATAGCTCTTCCTTGCTCCAACTCTTTTGCTGGTTGTTTAATATCATTGGATCTCATGCAAGAATATTTCCGTATTCTTACGTCAGATTCAGCAAACGCTCCTGACTTCAGATAACCGTGTAAATGACCTGTGCAAACATGATGAATGTCACCGGTGCATAAATAACTGCGTAATTAAGGCTCCAATAATACTGTATAAGGCAACATATTCAAAGTCAGAAAATACACAACCCATTAGCGAGAATAAAAAATACATGGCTACAATCCACACTTGACCAAATATGAACACCTTCAAAGTCTGTAATCCGCACTTTAATTTCATAATAATTTGATTTCAAATTCACACAGTAAAAGTGATGAGTAGAGCCGAAAAAGGAAAATGTGACCCCGTCAAACACTTACAGATCTCTGAAAGGCCCTGTGCATTTGGTCATTTTTCTAAGTAGCTCTGACTTGAGCTACAAATAGCACTTTCTTTCAGCTTGGCGACTGCCAGTAGCTGCAGACCCACAGCAGTACCTTTTAAGTACTTACGCTCTTTTCTTCGGCATCTCTGTCGTCTGCAAACCATCAGCACCAATCTATGGCCATTAGTCAGGCTTCGCAAATATAAACAAGAGCAGTTTGAATATCCAAGAGGGCAGGTAGCATCCAACAGGTTGCTACTTCCTAACCTCAGGAAGAGACTCTGTGTTAAAGTGGCACACGCAAACACAAATACACGGAGTACACAGTGACCGTTGCCAGTGATAGGATTACAATTTGATGCCCCCTTGCCTGAAACACAGAGAGTACACAACTGCATTATAGACTAAATAAAACATCACACAGTCTGTTGACCTCAAGATATTCTGGCTTACAGAACAGAGCTGTTCGAACGCCTGCATTAATTCTAGTGAAGGGAAGAGACCAGATGCTCTGCGCCATATGGAATACACGTCAGAAGATTGCAGGGGCAAGCACAGGTAAACAGCAGTATCAGTATAGCCTCGTGCAACATCGGCGTGGACTAAAATGATCAAGGGAACTCTGGGAGGAAGCTACAAAACGTCTATCCCGAGACAACCCTGCGTCCAACAAAAATACATTACCATACAATTTATCTGCACTCTCAATTATATTTCGAGGGAAACTCATCTGCTATTTGGTTAGGTTTAGTTGAAAACATTAATATTTGGCTTAAAATGGCTATGGAATTCAAAATAATACTAGCACTGATGCTCTTGATTAAAAAGAGCAATCAAATCCTGTACAGTCTTGTAATATCCAGTCTTGTTGAGGGCATTTTATAGTGTACAATCAGCATAAAGTACCCCAGTTAAATAACTACATTACCACAAGTTTTGGCATATCAACAGATGTGGCAATCATCTGTCCAGTTATCTCTGACCAATCAGAGTTAAACTACACACCAGGGTTCAACGCAAATGTTTCTCTTAACTTGCCCGATGTGGCATGTGGCTCAGAAATCGACCTGATCAAAAAAAAATATGAAAATTCATAAGCTGTGGATATCTTAGTTGTCCTCTACTTCAGTTCCACCGAGCTGCATCTAAAACTTCTCATGGGCCAGACATGGGCTGTTGCAAATGTGAAAAGTACTTTGTTAAATGGATACTGGAAGCAGGACTGTCAACAGGAACATGTACAAGTTTCTGTTATAAATCAGATGTGGGGAGGATAAACACCTTAATGGGAGCTGGGAGGCCTGTGGGCTAATAGGATGAACGTGTAAGAGCAGGCAGAGGTCATTTCTGGTCCTCTAAGGCATCCGAGCACTCTGTACGCGGCTGTATATGTGCGTTGGAGTTGTGGAGAGGGTCCTAGCTATTCTGCGTGTGCACGTGTTCAAGGACGTAGAAATCCCTGAAGCATTTTGTTCTAAAGCTTTTGCTCGTGTAAGTGCACAGCAGCACAATTTATTATATTTTAGCCTTGAATCAGCATGTCAAAGACGCTGATTCAAAGCAGTTGTCACGTGTCTATCAAGGTCTGTAAAGGAGTTCTGACACAAATGCGCAGTTTTAATGAGAGTGCTGCTCACTTTATGGATGACTACACCGTTTGTGTAATACCAAATGAATCTTCCTGTTGACTGAAGTGAAGATTTCAAGAGCACAGAAGCTAAATTGCTGAATCGTTGGATAACACGCTAGACAGTCCCTGAGACAGGTTAATCCACATGAAAGAGATTTTCCTTATTCCTAAAAAGAGACAATTACAGAACATGTCCAACCCAGAAAAACAGAGGATTTAGGAGGATGCTGGTTGAGTGCAATGAACGCAAAACAAAACCAGACCAACTCTGCATTGGACTGTTGACCAGTTCTGTGAAAGAAACGGAACATCTATGCAAGGTGGTTATGTCGGCTTCTGAGCTAAATTGGCCACAGACGCCATTAATGACCAATGTGCTGTCCAGTTAGTAGGTTTGTTGCTCACTGTTTGATGATCCAACATGGTATGTGTGGTCCAAGGGTTGTTTGAATGGTGTATTCGAGTTGATGCTTAGGGATGAACTGCTTTGACCCAAACAAACACTCCCCAGAAAATAATAATAACCAAAACATGGGTCTTCCACAGTCCACCCACTTATTTTCAGCACACCTACTCTCAATATCAGCTTCCTGATATGCGAGGTCAGGTGACACTGTTCACTGTTTTAGCACCACTAGGTTCTGCCATACTATTTACATTGAGGTAATTGGATACAAAAATGAATCATAAAAGCTTACCAGAAAAGGCTCCAACAGGGGTTTTACAGATCCAAACCCCTAAATTCCCCTTAGGTTTAGGCTCGGCACTGTAAAAAAAAACAACCTCAGGGCATAAACGGGGCACGAGAGCATGAATGCTGTCAGATTGGACAATGGCATTTTTAGGACCTTGTAAATAAAGCCACAAGGGGTTGTACAAGATCTGCTGCAAAATGGCAGATTAAGTTAAATGTGCTCCGTCTGAGAAATATGAGAAGAAATGATATCCAAAAAAAAGGCTATTTTCTTGTATGATTGTCAGATGAAAGCTGGAACGCTCTAGAACATGGGCCTGGTCTTGAATGTGCAGCAATTTGCCATGAAAATAAAAAAAGATTGAGGCCTCTAAAATCTTCACATGAGCAAGGTTGAGACTCACTATTCCCTCCCCAACAGTACAGTGTTCTGTTTAGTAGGGGGAATGATGATGGCAGGGATTCTCAACTGAATGTGAAATTGTTTCACAACCAAATGAAAGTGAAGTCAAAGAACATTTGAATGTTTCATTTACTGCTCGATTGACATCAAGAAAATGTGTCTTCTCTTGTCAGACAGTACCACTTTCAGAAAACAGAGATCTAGTCTTATCACACCAGCCTCTGTACACACTACGGAGACAGCAATAACAGCATGCCATTTGAAAGGACTACAGTAGGTAGCAGCATTACAAACACATGTCAAGCAGTGTCAAATAAAGCCTTCAGAAACGAAGGCAATGTTTCTTTCACATCGCGTTACAGAATAAAATCCACCTTAAGTTACTTCCACTATCGTACAGTACATATCACAATTCTGATGCTCAATGTATTCCAGAAGTAGTTTGTTATAACCTGCTACCTACCTAGTGTGCGTAGTACCCAGGCACGTCTCGGTATAAAGCACCTCCATATTGAGAGGAACCCAGCTGTGGTGATTCGAGCACCCACCAAGAATGCACCTTGAGCACCCTAGACCGAGATCATATTGGAGGTTTCATAATGTGCTGCTGCTGAACACAGAGAGAGGCTTGTGTTGCCGTTTGATTCTGGTGCACTGAAACCAACCATTGCGGTTTTCTGAATGTGCAACGATGAACATGCTCTTTGATGAACTGAAACCAAGACATTTCCTGTGATGTTTTAATACAGTTTCAAATTATCTTTTTTTCGGCCACCGGAAGAACCTCAAGATCATTGGCTTTGTTATGTTGTGTTAATGTTAATATTTGTATCAATGGTTATGAACCTTATTCCTTTTTATAAAACAAAAGGCAATATGCTCGGTCAGCCTGAATTTCTAGAGGATCAGCAGAAAAAGAGGATAACAGTGATGAAGAGTACACTAACCTGTCAACACATGATTATAGCTCTCCACTTAGCACATCCCCAAGGATAACAATCCACTTTCCAACAGCAGTACAGCCCCAGAAAACACCACACTCAAGAGGCATCCCACCACAGCTGAGTGATGAAATCTCTGCAGCAGGTCTGCTATTGACATACAAAACTGCCAGCATGTATTGACTACATGCTGGTTGAATAAAATTTTTTTTAAATTAAAATCTACATTCATACTGCAGGCAAATCCGATTTTCTTCTCAAATCAGATCTTTAAGACAGGCTGTCTAGACTGTTATTTGCAAATGATCAGATCAGATTTGTGTGTTCAGACATCACTAACATATCTGATGGGCTGCTGTGGTAACGACGTAGGCATAATAACTATGTCGCTACGCTGGTAACGTGGACTTCTAACGAGCAAGCATTCGCCCTCAAAAGAATCGCGCTGTCAAGTAACGTTGCAGAACTCCTTCTGGTGAACATTGTGAGAGGGAAGCATGCAGAAAGTGAAAGTGCCAGAGAATTTATCTGGGCGTCTGTCCACGGACTGTTCTCTTCTGTTGTCCTTCATAGCGCTTTGCTAGCAGCATGGTATGCTCAGCACCTCCACACCTTAAAAATTAAATTTGAGCAGTCGGAGCTTCCAGCCTGAGACACATCCGACTGGAATGGCATTTCAAACCACCTGTGGTTTGGATCAGAGTTGCAAAAATTGCATTTCATTTTTTTTGGGGGGGGGGGGGGTTCCAGACTTTCTAAAATCAATGTGGATAAAATCTAGATACGCCAAAAAACAGATATGAGCTGGTAAGCTAAACATGGGACAGAGATTTACAGATTCTAAATCCATTACACTTGTATACTTTTAGGCCTAACATGTCTATTCTTATGAAGACCAGAGGACCCATTTCTGCCATTCATGAATTTACAAGTCATAAATATACAAGCTTTTGGTCCTGAAAGCAAACTGGCCTCTGTATGATTGGATTTCTCATGACTGTTGTTTTCTTTAACAAATCTTATTAGTGTTGCAGTGGAACACCAACAAGATGAAATACACATTCAACATGTAGCGAAGCAAAACATTTCATCCAAAAGGGGAAAACTAATGACTGAATAGAATTATTTCCACAAATTCTAAACAATCACCGTCAATTACTGATGTGGCCTCCATGCTTCACCTCTGTTACCACCACATCTCTGCAGCATTACTGAGATGTTTTTATTTATTTTTTAAATAAATATCCCAAACGGCCCATGAAACAAGCATCAACATGAATTATTATGAGTTATTCTCGGACATATAGCGCTGTTTGTTGTGTGTAGAGGGCGTGTGTGTGCCGTCACTGAAAAGCAGCGACAACAGCTTGTGTTGTCGCCTTTGAAGCTTCAAATGTTTCTGGATATTCCTGTCCAGATACTAAAGAACACTCTTTTGTATGATCAGTGAGTAAGCAGCATTATACACAGCATTAGTACAGCACCAACAATCGACATGTTGGTGATTTCAGCACCTATTTCACCAATACAACCCACAGTGTGTCCAGAGACTCATCTCTAAGCCAAGATCTACAGCCAAGATCTACAGTGATAGAGTGAAGACTGGTGTGCACATTCAGTCAAAGGACAGATAATACACCTGGAATACATTAACAAAAAACACACAAGCTGCTTTTTTACCATTTACTGTGACAAGATCGAATGTATCAAAAATCTGTTCTGTGCTAAATGTGTCTTTAAAGTCTTTGCCACAACAATTGCTGAAAAGGCAGCTACACATGAATGGGTTATTCTCAGCATTCTGCAACCATTACCACAACAATCATTGCCCACTTCACAGATGTACATGTAATGGTGATATTACCTCCAAGGTATAATGTCCACATACAGTATATGCAAAATCTGAAGTGAACATTACTACGTATGTGCTTTTGTGCTCGCAAAATATTCCTGTGAAGTTACCATTGTAGATACAATCCATGCCATGCAAGCATGATGCTGCCAGGGACTTACTGGGCATTGGTTGAGTCCATACTGTACTCCTCTTGATACCTGGACGCAGCACACATGGACACAGATAGGCATAGGTTAGGAGAGAGTGGGGTTCGAGGAAGCAGGAAAGGGAAGGAAAGAGCAAAAGAAAAGGATGCGACTCAGGATGCCACTGTAATTCATTTACATTCACTTGCATCTCGAGTCAGAATGCAACTATTGGATAACCTTGTAGAAGAATCTGAGCTCAGTTTGTGCAGCAAGATGGCTCAAGATGAGGATCTGAGAGCATGTTAGCAAGTTGATATCCAATCAGATCCTGTATCTGAGCAGCTGCTTTTTACTGCACAGTTGAAGCCTACCGTCAAGATATTTCCAACAAGGTTTCACTGAGTCACCTTCAAACTCCTGATACAAGTAAATATAAACATTCAGCAGAAATTGACTGCATCTGAGCCCGAAAGGGAAACACAAAATGTATTTCAGAGCCATTAATTCACAGGGCGCATGCAAGGCAAACTCTGCACATTAAGTTGATCAAAAAACGTTGTTTCAGCTGACTAACGAACAGATGGTACACTTAATGCAAACCACAGGGGGGATCAGTGGACACACCCTCATGGTTGAGGTGACCATGGAGAAAAGGGAAGTGTGTAACACCGAGGGAACTGACAGACAGGGAGACATACCCAGATATTTATCTTAATGGCTGACATATGGACAATTGTGATGGACTGGGGGTCAAAGATTAAACACACACGTTTTGATTTGATGCAGAACAAATTGTCTTGAGCACTCTACGGCTATGGCTTCCTTTGGAAACCACTTACTGACGGTGAACCACAGAGTTGTAGTATTTCATGTACGGTTGGTATGTCATTTGTTTCTTAATTGTGCACAAATTCTTTTCAAATATTTAAAACTGCATATAACAATCAAACCAGTAATTACACGGGCACAGGTAACCGCACGACTTGGACTTCTTGGCTGAGGCAGAAACCCACAAAGCCACTGTGATTTAGACAGTTTAACTTGGTTTAACTAATAAACACAGGCGTGACTAATGGCATAATTATGAAATGCAGCCACATTTGTGTCTTTCCTGTTACAATAAGTCAAATGGCTTCTTCAAAAGAAAACAAAAGTTCCCTTACTACCGTGCAGAAATATATGGAAGCATTAAATAACATACATGAGAGGAACAGACGACAGAGCTCCTCCAGAAAATGTTTGATATCTTACTCTGTATTGTAAAAAAAAAAAAACTCTGTCCTGACACAGTAAAAAAAAAAGGTAATTTATTTTACCTTTAGACTAGTGTCGTTGGCGGCCTATTTGACATCAAATCTCATTTTATGCCTTTCAGAAATAGTGGTTGGTTTGTTTGAGATTCATTTTAACGATAAACCCATGTTTGAAAATGCTTTAAATGGTTTTATAATATATATTTTTTTATAACGAAGAGACGTACCATTAATTCAGATACATTTTAGGACTGAATAGATTCAACTTTTACTCTATTCCCAACAATCCTGCAAGTACAGTATGAGCCAGACCATATACAAATCAAAACTACATATGGGCTAAATACACATGGTTCTCTTTGTAATATAAAGACATTATACTGTGCTTTAAGTCCCTCATCCTTACATGTAACCGGCAGAAATATTTCCCAAAGCTTTAAAACAACGTCAACAGAAATATGAATTGAGTACTATGTCTGTAGGTTATTGTAGATGCGAGTACACTGTTATTCTAGTGAGTAAAATGCTTCAAGGCCAAGTCCAAAGCACGTCTAAAAATATCAACTTCAGCGGTGGATGTATAAAAATATAATTTAGGTTGATATCCCTTTGAAGCTCGTAAATAATCAAAGTCTGTCTGCTGAGGAATATGTGTTCACAAGGTCATTATTCAGCAGTTCAGGCTGTTGCGTTGAAAAGCTTCTGGCAAAACCAGCCTTTTTAAAAAAGGACTAATGGAGTGTCCATTAAAGCCCGGAAGTAGTAGGTCACAAGAGCGGAACTGTACTATGCCAGTAACTAATCAAGTACCATTTGGCATCTCAACAACAGAGCGTAGTCGATTAGTATGGTCCCCAGGAACCAATGACATCGTCAACTCTGGAAATCAGTCCTAAGGCTTTTAGTGGATGTTGACAAAAGATTACTGTCAACAATGTTCCTTCTGTAACTTTCTAATAAAGCTACCAGAGAAGGTGATTTTAAAACAATCACTACCAGAAGTTTGTAATTCACTGGAGGTTTTTGTGAGTAAGACCTTTAATGAACTGAAAATCCAGTTATTTTAGTTATAATCATATTGCATGAAAGAGTTTCCCATTTCTAAAAGCCAGATTCAATTCAACATTAAATTAATTTCACTTTATTTTAGACATGTAGTGTACAAGAGAGAGATTTAAAAAAAAAAATAAAAAAAGAAAGGGTACAAAGAAAGATGGATTGCCGGGTGTTTTGGAAACTTTCTGATAGCAGTAAAGTTCAGCTGCATTGAAGGATATGCAACAGCCAGATGTGATGTATGTGGCAGAGGAAAACTTTTTTTACAGCTATTTGAGACTAGCTATCGTCTTACATTTTGTATATGGTAATATGGCATAAGATTAGTCTTTTCCTGCACAAAATTTTGTGATATTATATTTACTCCATATCCCCCAGTCCTACAATTTACTGTTCAAAAGTCTACTATACCAGTGTGATTTGCTGCCCCTTTAAAAACTTAGTTCAGAAGTGAAAAAGCAATTTGGAAATGCTTAATCTGCTCATCATAAATACTGTACAGTATGTGATCTGCTGTGATCTCAGTGTCCATTTTGTGGCTATTTGACAACACTTTAATGAGCAATAAAGATGCTATCTGGCTGCTAAGAGCTTTAGCAGTGTAGAGGATATGGTTAACTGCGGCTCCCTTTGCCCCATTAGCCTACAACACTCACTCGACTCTGTTCCCTCCTCTGTTTCTTCACTTCATCATAAACCAAAGAAGCTGACACATCCTAATATTCATGCAGTTAGTCTCATGCCCTTCACATTTCACTCCAATTATGATAAAACAAATGCAACAAAGAAGCGAATAGATCCTCACCTCTTTGCAGCTGATCTGGAATCACAAGTATGAGCTGAGCTACTGACACAACTAGTGCAAAAGGACCAGCACTTTCAAATTATGCTTTCAAATACATTTACTGAGAACTACCTCAAGGACTACCTGATAGAATGGGGGAGGGCCTCACACACATACACACCATCTCTGCAGCAATTTCAAGGGCAAATGGGATTTGTAGTTTTCCCTGCATCAGGAAGCTTGCCAACATTTCATCATATACTACATTTCCCATACTGTTCCTCACTACCACGGAGGCAACTCAAGTTCTCCCCTCCAAAATGATGACTAGTCGGTTCCAGTAACTTAACACCTGGTTCGGGGGGGAATCTAACAGCAGCAAACAAGATGCAGGACTGTAACTACATTATTCTGGCCAAAACCTATATGTCGTATGTAACCTATATGTTAAAGTACTGCTGATCTGTAAATAAAGCTGGTGGACACAGAACACCTTTATACTCTATTTCTATTACACCATTTTCACAGAGAATACCTGTTTCTGACTGGTTGGCAGGTGTCGATTAAAACCTAATAATAGACCCCCCCAGACCTGGTTCTGGTCAACAGCTAAACCTCACTTCTAAATCGGTCCGAAGGTAAATTACACTGCAGGTAACCATAGCAACAGTACCTCTGTGTTACTTTACCAGCTACAGTGTCTCTTACTTTTAAAGATGACCTGACCAGGTGTTGAACTGACTACGAGTAACAAAGTAAATAACAGAAAATAAATTAGAAAAAGTATCGCAAGAAGTTGTATTTTGTTTGCCTCTGGCCATGATATATGATGGCCAAGAACTTAGTGTGTATCAGGACAAGTCATCAGGTATCATCGATTACTTAGACAACCCCAGTTCTGAATCAAAAACTATGACAGGCTCAACCAAAACTTTACATGGTAGAGCTTTCACAAGTTCGTATTGTGTGGGGTTGAAACAATAACACTCAGCCGTCCCATTTCAATCTCTGGGACCGTTTATTAGGTCAAGTTTTGTGGCTATACTGTATTGCTCTGGACAGTATATGATTTTTGTCATTGATATTATATATTTTCTACCTTTATTGGTATTAAATTCACTAAATGGGCTGCAAACACATTCCCCATGGGGTTAGTTTGTGTTTCTTTTGCTTCTTAGTGCGTTCGTTTTGCACAAAATGAGAATTGAATGTATTTTTTACTCCTCTGCTTTGAACTGAATGAATGAATGAATGAATGAATGAATGAATGAATGAATGAATGAATG